GGTTTCAAAGTAAAAATTTAAGGAGTTGGGATGTAGCTCAGGGCTCCCTGGGTTCAAATCCCAGTACTCCAAAGAAACAAAGTCTGTGTTGGTGGGGAAGGCATTGATCTCTGCCTGTGACATCCCCAGTGTCCCGAGTCTCTCCCTGGGCTGAGATTCTGCGTGACCTCAGGCGGCCTCTCCCGGCGCTCAAAGCCAGAGGCTGGGCCCCGGCTGTTCCCCATCTGGCCTCTAGGTGGCATCGCTGGTCCTTGATTTGCTGCCCGCACAACCCAGGTCCCTATCGCCCCTGCCCTGGGTTCCACTTGAACCCAGAATTTCATTCTGGGTGTTCCAGGTTTAATTTACTTGAGCAATTAAATGATTTTGTTGTTATTGCACTGAGGATTGAGCCCAGGGGGCAGAGATCCCTATTTATTGACTTAATTGTTTTTAAAATTTTGGGTCAAGGTCTTGTTAAATCGCTAAATTGCTCCTGTTGGGCTTTAACTTGCCATCCTTGTGCTTCAGCCTCCCACAGTGCTGGGATTATAACCACGCACATCACACCCATCCAATGGGTTGACTTGGGGGGGTGCTGGGGATTGAACCTAAAACCTTCCCATTGAACTCCATCCGCAGCCATTTTTTACTTTTTATGTTGAGACAGGGTCTTGCTAAGTCACTAAGGTGCCTGAGCTCAGCTTCCGTTTGTGATCCTCCTGCCTCAGCCTCCCAGAATGCTGGGATGACCGGCAGGGAGTCTCAAAGCTCATGTGGCAGTGGCTCTTGCGCCACAGCTGGAGCAAAATGGGTGGGGCAGTGGCCCTTGGCAGGGTCAAGACTGGATGTTGGGGAACTGACACGGGTCCCCACCAAGGGGCTGGGGAGGCTTGGGGGAGGGCAAGACATGTGGGTTGTGACACGGAGGCCGCTGGAGCCACTGGCACTATTCTGAGCAGGAGCCGGGTGGCACAGACAGAGGCCACACGGTGCATGGGCATCCGGGTGGACTCGCTGGGTGGGTGATGCCGTTTGTGTGGCCTTCTGCTGGCTAGGAAGACACTGTAGTCTGCTGGAGGTGAGTGAACAGGCAACGCCTCAGGCCATCGTAGCAAAATACTGTCGGCCAGGAATTTACACACAACAGATGTTACTGGGCATGGTGGTGCCTGCCTATAATCCCAGTACTCCAGAGGCTGAGGCAGGAAGATCTGGCAAGTTTGAGACCAGTGTGGGCTACATAGTGAGTTCAAGGTCAGCCTAGGCTACATAGGGAGACCCTGTCTCAAAAAACTAGGACAACACCACCACCAGATGTGGTGGGCACACTTATCATCTCAGCACCCAGGAACCTGAGCCAGGAGGGTCACCATGAGTTCAAGGTCATCTTGGGCTACACAGTGAGTTCAAGGCCAGCCTGAGACCTGGTATTCAATTTTAAATTTTTTTTTTTTTTTTTTTTTCCAGTACCGGGGATTGAACTCACGACCTTGTACTTGCCGGGCAGGTGCTGTGCCACAGAGCTAAATCCCAAGCCCCTCCATTTTAGCTCCTAAATGGTAAATGCCTGTAGCTCCAAGCCACATAAATTATCTTCAGGACACTCTTTAAGAAGGAAGAGGATGCTGAGACAGACAAGTTTAAGCAACACTGCTACAGGAAAAGGGCCAGATCTGGCCCCCTGTTTGTTTTTATGAATAAAGATTTTTTTTGGTACCGGAACTCGAACTCAGGACCTTGTGGTTGCCAGAGAGGAGCTTGTGCTGCTGAGCTATATCCCCAGCCCTAAGAATAAAGATTTATTGGCACATAGCTTCACACACCCACATATTTATCGTCCACAGTGCTTTCTTGCTGCCACCAAGACCACCTGGGTCATAAAACCAATTTTTTTTTCTTTTGAGATGGTTTTATTTTAGTGCAAGCTGGACTTGAACTCCAGATCTTCCTGCCTCTAAGCTCCCCCCGCTCCAGTGCAGGGATCACAGGTGCATACCACTGCACCTGGCTCAAAACTAAAAATTTGAACACAATTTTTGACCTAGGCAGGGTGACACATACCTGTAATTCCAGGAAGGAGGGAGGCTGAGGCAGGAGGATTATAAGTTCAAGTCCCACCTTCTGAAACCCTGTCTGAAAAGTAAAAAATAAAAAAGGGCTGGGATGTACTTTACTGGCAGAGCACCCCTGGGTTCAATCCCCAGTACAAAAACAAGTAAACAAACAAATACCAACACGAAAAGTTTTGGTGCTGGGGGTTGAACCCAGAGTTTTGCTTATGCTAACCATCTGCCCTTTTACTACATCCTCAGCCCTGAAGGCAGTTATGCTTTAAGGGAAGAAAATGTGCCGGGCATGGTGGCACACCCAGCTCTGGAGAGGTTGAGGCAGGAGAATCTCTGCAAGTTCAGGGACAGTTTGGGCTACATAGTGAGCACCTGTCTCAAAAAAAGAAGAAAGACAAAGAGAGAAAGAGACGAAGAAAGAGAGAGAGAGAGAGAAAGAGAGAGAAAGGAAGGAAGGAAGAAAGAAAGAAAGAAAGAAGGAAGAAAGAAAGAAAGAAAGAAAGAAAGAAAGCAAGAAAGAAAGAAAGAAAGAAAGAAAGAGGCTGGAGATTTAGCTCAGCAGCACAGTGCCTGCCTGGCAAGCAAGCGCAAGGTCATCAGTGTGATTCCAGGTACTGGAAAAAACCAAGAAAAAAAAAAAAAAAAAAAAAAAAAGAAGAAGAAGAAAGAAAGGAAGGAGGGAGGGAGGGAGAGAGTGAGGGAGGGAGGGAGGGAAGAAAGAAAAATGAGCTAAGTGCTATGTAGAATACTTAATCTCAGTCTCCAAGGACACCTCGTTATTGCTTGCATCCGAGATGGGGAGCAGAAGCACAGAGAGGTTAAGTCACTTGCCACAGCCGAGCTGTGTGTTGGGGGCGTGTCTCTGGCCGTGGTGGGGTCACGTGTGTCGTCGTGTCTGGGGAGCCTCCTGCCTGTCCCCTTTCCCTGCGGACTGTGTGCATCTCCTTGCTGAGGCTTCCGGGGGGGGGGCGCTCAGAGCCCTGTCTTGAAAGAGGAGCTCCTGGGGCTGGGGATACAGCTCAGTGGCATAAGCACCTGCCTGGCAAGCGCAAGGTTGTGAGTTCAATCCCAGGTACTGCAAAAAAAAAAAAAAAGAAAGAAAGAGGAGCTCCTCTCCCAGGCCACAACAAGCCCTGGCCTGGCTGACGCAGGGTGATAAGTGGCCCTTTGCTCCTGAGTGGACACAGACTCCCCTCTTCCTAATTAAGACACAGTTTCATGGCCTAGGCTGATGGCAGCAGACACCTCTGATCCCACTAGTTGGGAGGCTGAGGCAGGAGGATCACAAGTCTGAGGCCACCTTGGGGTATTTAACAAAGCCATGTCTCAAAGTAATAATTTATAGCCGGACACGGTGATGCACGGCTGTAATCCCAGCACTTGGGAGGCTGAGGCAGGAGGATCATTGCAAGTTCAAGACCAGCCTGGGCTACAACATGAACTCAAGGCCACCTTGAACTGTATAGTGAGACCCTGTCTCAAAAAGACAAAATAATAATAATAATAATAATTTACAAAAGGGCTGTGGGAGCAGTGATAGAGCACTTGCCTACCATGTGTGAGGCCCTGAGTTCTATCCCTGGCATTGCAAAAAAAAGGACAGTTTTATGTTTTTTAAAATGTATTATTCTTATTATTTGATTTTTTGAGATGGGCTCTTGCTATGTGGTGCAGGCTGACCTTGTATTATGTAGCTCAGACTGGCTTCAAACTTGTGGCGATCCTCTTGTCTCAGCCTCCCAAGTGCTGGGATGACTGGCGTGTACCAGCACACCTGGCTTAGTTTTACAATTTTAGGCTCTATTCATAGGACCATTTATGAAACTGGCAGGGAGGTGAGGCCTTGTAGGGGTGGCCGGCAGGGTAGATTTCCTGCAGCAGAGGGCTGCGGGGAAAGGGACTACAGGTTGCAAGTACCCAGTGCATCACAGGCAGCTCTGCTCCTTGATCTCGGGGACGGACCCTCCCTGCGCTCTTTTAAGGAAACCCTTGTGGCAAGTACTGCTACTGGGCAGGAGGTACCAGCCAGCATCCAGCTGCAGGGCAGGGCGACCAGTCTTTGTGGAATGTTCTTCCCTGGGGCATGGGCATCCTGAGCTGTTTTTCTGTTTTCTTTTCAGAATTCAGTGTCACCAAGCTGCACTTTTCTTTATTTGTTTATATTGAAACAGGGTCATGCATAGTTGTCCAGCTTGGCCTCAAATTTGTGATCCTCCTGCCTCAGCCTCCTGAGTAGCTGAGATGAGTGGTAATAGAACAGCAGCCATTGCCCCAGAAAGCCACAGCCCAGTGTTTTAGGAACTTTAAACTCAGTTCAGGGGCTGGCAGAAGCACTCACCCCACATCGCCCAACAGAGCCCTGAGAGCGCACAACCACGGCACAAGACGATTCCAATCCAGAGGCCCGTTGGGTTCAACTTTTTTTTTATTATTTTTTTTTCTTTTTTAATGTCATGCAATAATTCACAGTCCCAAGCCCACGGTTTTCAAACAAGGTAGGAAAAAATAAAATAAAATAAAAAAATAAAAAAGAAAAAAAAAAAAGGGAAAAGAGAAGCAAAGGAATCGGTGGTGGTGGTCTTTTTTTTTTTTCTTTTTTTCTCTTCTTTTGTTATTTCAAGCAAGATCAAATGTCAGAAAAAATGCTTCTTTTTTCTCAATCATTAATTTTTTTGTCCTTTTTAAAATTGTTTATTATGATGATTTCTCTTTTAAACTGATTTCTGCAGGCAGTAATAGTAGGGTTCGTATCACCAGCAAGCACTCCTGGTCTGAGACGCGTGTGGGGTGTGTCCGGTCTGGGTGCTGGGCTCACTGCCTTCGCCTCCACCTCCCCGTGGCTCCTCTGCCACGGCAGCCACCAGCTTCCTTGCTCGCTCGCCAGGGAAAGGAAAGATTCGACTGAGATGATAAAACTCATCAATAGAAGCTATTTTTTTTTCTCCTCGGTTTTTCTTTAAAAATGTTATTGTTTTATATATATATATTTTTCCATTTTCCCCAAAGTTATCCAAAAAGAGCTGAGTGAATTCGAATCCCTTGGCTGTGTAGTCGGTCTGTCTGTTGCCCGCCCCAGACCCCCGTCACAGGGGGGAGGTTGAGGCTGGGGCGGGGGACACCCAATGCCCAGGAGGGTCTGTTCTGGCCTGGGGGGGTGCTCTGGGAACCCCCGGCCCCTCCAGAGTCTCGGGTCTCCGTCGCTGGCGGGTTCTCTCCTGCACCCGGGGTGTTGGGTGGGGACGGTCTCCTGGTGGGGTGTGTGCGTGGGGTGCATGGGGGAGCCGGGCGGGGGACGGTGCCACCTCGCCCGGACTTAGCACCAATCGTCGTCACTTTCGCTGTAGGGTTCGTGCAGGCCTTTCCGGGAGCCGGGCCCTCCAGGCCTGGCCAGTCCGTGGACCGCGTAATAGCCGTTGGGGAGTCTCCGGCCGTGCCGGGAAGGCGAGGTGCAGGCCGGGCCTGCGGCCCGGGGAGTCCTGGGCGATCGCCCGGCGGCGCCCGAGGACGGGTGTCGTGTGGGGGGTGGCACATCATAGGGCCCGGCCATGGCCTCCTCGCCGAGGCCGCCGCTGCCCGGGCCATCGGCCTCATCATAGTCAGAGCCCCGGTAGTAGCTGTGGTGCCGGGGACCCTCGGACACGTGCGGGCCGGACGCTGGCCACCGGGCCCCTCCGTGGCGACAGGTTCTGGGGGACTCGCTCCAGGCTGGACCAGGGGCTCGCCGCTCCATGCCAGGTGATCGGCTGCTGCCGTGACCGCCCGTGGGTGGCCGCTCCCTGGCCAGAGGCTCGGCCACGGGGCCCGGGTACCTCCGTGGGCCGCTGGTGGCTGCCCGGCCTGGCCTGGCCACTACCTGCTGCGGCTGCTGTGGGGGCCCCGAGGCGCCGGCCTTACGGATCACAGGGGAGTAGGACACGTGTGGCCGGGGGGTGGGGGGGGTCTGGGGGAGCTGGCGGCGTCCCCGCCGTGGAGTGCTGGTACCAGACGTTGAGGGGGCTGGGCTTCCACTTACAGAACTACTGCCCTACACGAAAATTGAAACAAAGGAAATCAAAACAAAAGATACAACCAAATCAACCGGAAGGAGAACGGGAGGAGACACAGAGGAGGAAGGGGAGAGAAGGAGGCCAAGGAGGACAAACGGGACAGGAGAGGGGGTGTGGGGGCAGGAGACACAGGACATGGGGATGGAGAAGAAGGAGAAAAGCGACAGCCACAGGGGGAAGAGGGGGAGGGCGGGAGAGTGAGACGGGGAGGGAGGGGGAGTCAAAAATCAACACAACAAAGTGAAAAGAGAAATGAGAAATGGAGTTTTGTAAGTTTCGGGGTTAAAATAGCAGAAGTTTCAAAAAATTACTCACAGGCGTCCATAGGACAGAAATCATAATTGAAACGAAAAGGGAAGCCAGGTTAAAGGAAAGCGAAAGGACCGCCGCGGCCCTGAACTCAAACGTGATCCACAAGGAGAAGCAGCCGTGGGCAGGCGGGTGGGAGGGTGGCAGCGGGTGGCAGGGGCTGGGCGCGGAGCGGGGACCGGGAGGGGGCAGGGAGCGGGGTCCACCCAGCCTGCAGCCTCCCTTGGCCCTGGGAGACCTGTGGGGTGCAGGTGGGAGGAGGGTGCCCCTGAGGTCAGGGGTCCTGGCCTCAGGTGGCGCGGGTCCCCCGCAGGTGTGGGCGGCTGGGGTCCCCTCCTCCTCCTCCTCTCCTGGCCCCGGTCCCGGCCCGGCTCCCTGACCGCACCCACCTGCCGGTGGGCCATGTGCTCCCGGCCCTCGCTGGGCGAGCGGGACCAGTGCTGGTCGCGGGCGCGGGCGCGGCTGTGGTCCGGCCGCTCCCGCTCGGGGCCGTAGCGCTCCTTGTCGGGGGGCGGGTGGTGGTGGTGGTGGTGGTGGTGGTGCTGCCGGTGCTTCCTGTCCTTGGGCCGGCCCCGGTCCTGGTCCCGCTCTTTAGATGGCAGTTCCCCAGACTGGGTGGTCATGCTCAGGTCTGTCCCCAAGCCTGGGCCGAAAGGACAAACGGACGGATGGGTGGGTGACCGTGAGGGGGGCCGGGAGGTAGGACAGGGTGTATCCATCAGAGTCAGGGGACACCAGGGATGGGGGACTCAGGCAGGTCTGGGGCGGAGCCTGGTAAGCATGCTGTCAGCCGGGTCCCTGTCCCAGGGCTGGGTGCAGACGACCCTGGTCCCTTGTGCCCTTTTCTGCCTTCCTCTTTTCTTTCTTTTTTGAGAGAGAGAGTCTCACTATGTAGCCCAGGCTGGCCTTGGACTCGTGGTGAGCCTCCTGCCTCAGCCTCCTGAGTGCTGGGATGACAGGTGGGCTCCACTGCACCCGAGTCTCACTTCTCTTCCTCCTTCCTGACTCTATCCTCCTCTGTCCCCCCTCAGAGCCCCCGTCCCCGGGCCCACCTGTGTCTACGTCAGTGTATCGGCCCAGGGAGCGCTCTGAGGCCCGGTGGCCGCGGTCACGGCGGCGCTGGTGGTGCCTCTGGTTGTCCTCGGGCGGGACCCGCTCCAGGGAGTAGTCATCCAGGCGTCGCACCTTGGGCCCCAGCACAGAGGCTGAGCGCTTCATGGGGCTGGTGTCGGAGATGGTCTGGGGGAACAGGCCGGGGACTGGGGTCAGCGCGAGCCTCACAATGCCCTGATCCTTTTCCCAATGGCGGCGGCTGTGTGACCCGTGGGCAGCTGCCCATGGCTGTGGTGTGGCCATTCAGAGACAGGGCCCTGGGGGTGCCACAGGGCCCAGGGCACAGCCTGCCCCCCACAGACAGGGCTGCTCCCTTTTGGCCCATGGTGGGGTTCCCCACCTGCGGCTGCTTCCTGGGGTCCCCTGCTGCAGACCCAGAAGCCCAGGCTGCAGGCCGCACCCCGGTCCCCCGGAGGCTCCAGCTGCCCTCCTCAGCGCCTCCTGACCCCTACTCTAGCTCCTGCCGCCCAGGTGCAGGGTATGCTATTTGAGGCACTGGGTGGAGCCCCCTCGGCCCACACCCCTGGGGTCAGGCCTTGACTCGGGAACCTCTGGTTCCCCACAGCAGGCAGAAGAAAGGAGCAGGAGGGACACCCCGACACCAGGCCTGCCCTGGAGCAAGGGACACAAGGCTGCAGGGCTGGGCCGGGGGTGGGGCTGGAGAAGCAGCCAGGATCGAGGTGCTGCCTGGGCCCGGGGCTCCTGGCTGGGGGCCCTGAGGAGGGGTGGGGCAGCGTGGCCCCCGCACACACAGGACACATACACAGGGAGGGTGAGTTTGCAGAGTGAGGTTGGGCGGGGACAGGGGCGATGGCCAGGGCTCCCCGCGGGGGGCGGGAGGAGGAGGCGGCGGCGGGCGCTGTACATACACTGAGGTTACTCCCACGTGGCCGGCCCCTTCTCTGTCACGGCCCCACGGGATGGTGCACACAGAAAGACAGAAAGGAGAAAATAAATATAAAAGGCTGGAAGGAGAGTGAGGTGCTGGGGACATGGAGGAGGTGTGCGGGCAGTGAAGAAAGAGAGAGAGTCACCATCTCTGGAGAGTGAGGGGGGTCCCAGGACCTGGCTGTCTGTCCCCCTCGGTGCAGCAGAGACAGACAGGAGACACACAGATGGCAGAGGCACGCAGGACGGACACAGAACGGCACAGCCACGGCCCCGGGCCTTCCTCATGCCATGCACGGAGCCTGGGCGGGGAGCGTCTTGCCCGCTCCCTTTCTTGGGACCCAGCAGCACAGTCCTGACACAGGAACCGGGTGGCCACATGCACCAGAGTGTCCCCCACGCCAAGTCAGGGCAGCCAGAGGCCAGGCTGGGAAGCTCGCGCGGCGCCGTGCTCAGCTCCACACAGGCAGCCGGCCCTGCCCTCCCGCGTCCCCGGACAGGTGGCTCCGCAGCTGAGAGAAGCAGCCGCACACAGACACACGCCAGGCACACGCTCTGCCCACCCCGCAGCCCACAGAGACCAGACAGGGACTAGGACGGCCCAGACCCGCGACCTGCCCCACACAGCTTGCAGGTCCTAGGACCCACGTGTGTGCATGTATGCACGTCTAGGCATGCGCTGCGTCTGTGTGCACAGGTATGCGTGTATGTTGTAGTACCATATAGTTGTCTTTTTTTTTTTTTTTTTTTAGCCCTGGGGATTAATCCAGGGCCTTTGCACTAAATGCAATCCCCAGCCCTTCTGTATTTTTTTTTTTTCTTTCTTTTTTTGGTACTGGCAATTGAACTCAGGACCTTGCACTTGCCAGGCAGGTGCTGTGCCTTTGAGCTATCTCCCTGGCCCCTACTTTTTTTTTTTTGAGACAGGATCTCACTATCTAGTTCAGGCTGCCTTGAACTTCCTATGTAGCCCAGGCTGGCCTTGAACTTGCCACAATCCTCCTGCCTCAGCCTCTCCAGTGCTGGGACTACAGGCTTGCAACACCACGTCTGGCTGTATTTCTTATTTTGAGACTAAATTACCCAAACTGAGCTTGCACTTGGAATCCTCCTGCCTCAGTCTCCCAGAGTTCTGGGAGCATAGGCGTGCACCACCACACTGTTGGTAGTTCCGCTGCAACTCTCACCTGGGGCCTGACAGATCCTCTTCTCCTCTCACCCCAAATTCCCCCCTCACGGCTCCTCCAATAAGACAGAGGGAAACTGGTTGGAAGCAACCACCGAACTCAGCCCCAAGGAGTGCCCTTCCCCTGGGAGGTGCCTGGGTACAGCAGGGAAGAGAAGCCCTAGGGTGCCTGTTTGAGGGGGAAGGTGGTGCCCCCTAGTGAAGAGGCGCGGGAGCACAGGGCAGTGCAAGCCCTCACCTGGTTCTCGGCGGGGAGCCGGGGCATGGAGGCGGCCCGGGCCTGGCCCTCCATGGGGAGGTAGTGCTCGCTGTCGGAGTAGCCCTCGGCGCCCATCTCTCGCATCTCCACCGCCTGCAGGCAGAGGCGGGCGGGTGAGCTGGGTCCAGGGCGCGGACCCCAGGGGCAGCTCCGCGGGCGCAGGGCGGTGAGCTAGGGGTGCGGATGTCACCTCCCATCCACCCAGCCCTGCCCGTGGGCGCAGGGCGGAGGCGCAGCGGCACCTGTGGGTTGGGCTGGCTGTGCGGCAGGTCAGAGGGGGGCCCGCGCTCCGGGCTCCAGGCGCCAGTCTTCTGGAACATCTCCTGTGCCCGCTGGGTCACCCAGGACGGGCTCTCCCTCATGCCGCTGTCGTGAGCCATCCTGCGTGGAAACAGAGGCCAGGATGGCAGGGGCACCAGGGGCTCTGGACCGTGGGCCCAGCACCCACCCCGCCGTGTCTCCTGAGGGCCATGGTGACACTCACAGGCCTCTGCCAGGGTCCAGCTGGGTGGAGGGGAGGGCGTTCTGGCCAGGTCCCCCCTCCTGCGTCGGGGACGGGGGCTCCATGCGCTGGAACATGAGTGGTGTCCGGTTCTGCGCAGGCGGACAACAGCCGGGGGACAGATGGAAGGAGTGTCAGAAGCTCAGGCACTAGACAAGTCTTTTAGTCTTTTTTTTTTTTTTTTTCCTTTGAGCTGGGCCCTCCATTAAGTTGTCAGGGCTGGACTCGAATTTCGCAATCCTCCTTCCTCAGCCTCCCTCCTAGCTGGGATGACAGGTGTGCAGCAGTAGGCCTGATCTCCAGAGCATTTCTGACACCTCCTGGCACGCACACACCCAAGTTTGACCTGTCTGGATCTTTCTTCCAAATCCACCCGGAGCAGAGTCCCTTCTCACCGCCACACCGCACTTGCGCATCTCCTAGGGCTGGTCTCCTAGCAACTGCCCTCGCTCCCGGCAGTCCCTTCCCTCCACAGCCACCTAGGGGCGCCCATAAGCACCCAGCCTGGTGGGCTCCCTGCTCCGCTCTGAACCCTTCAGGGCTCCCGTTTAACTTGGATTCTCTGTGCAGCCCTCAAGGCTCTGCCCCACCACCTCTCTCATCTCTCCCCTTTTTTTCCCACCACCTCCACCTCCTCACCGTCCCTCAAGCTCAGCAGATGAGGTCCAGCCCCAGGGGCTTTGCATAGGCCGATGCTTTTGCTGACCCGCTTCACATCCCACCCCTCTTCCCTCCGTCTTACGCTCCACTTTCCCCACAGCACTCTGCTCCCAGGCTCTTTGATTTAGTTGGAGCGGGGATGCTGGTCCGTTTTGCTTCGAGCTGCACTCCACGGCCCTCCTCCCCCTCCCTCCCGCAGCACATAGTAGGCGCTCATTCAGTGCTGCTGGAGGAAATGAATGGGTCCAATCATCCATGTATTTGCAGGGACCCGCGCTGGGGCCTGGCCACACCCCCCCTTCTTCTGATTGGCTCCCTGGCCGTTCCGATTGGCTCCCCGCCAGCTCGTCCTGATTGGTCTCCGGTACCGAGCAACCCTGTTTCCCAGCGCAGCGAAGGCGGACGCACCTGCTCCTCGCGCATGGCCTGCAGCTTCTTGGCCTTGCTCTGCCGGTAGTACTCCATGATCATCATGGCCGCGTAGATCTTCCCCACCGTCAGGTCCGTGGCTGGGGGCACAAAGAGAGCTCACCGTGCGGCCTCCCCGGCCCGCTTTCCCTCCCGCTGCGTCTGTCCCGCGCGGTCCCGCCCGGCTAGCTCGCCCCTTACACTTGTGCGGGGTGACCAGCAGGTCCAGCGTCTTCTGCGACAGGTTGGGCCAAATGGCCATCATCTCCTTCCGCAGCTCGGCGTCCATTTGCTGTTTGTCGGCACCGCCTGCAATGTGGGCACACACAGACCCTGATCTGGGGGGCACTGCCGCCATCCTGGTCGCCACGGGCTGGCCCGGAGCAGCCCCGGGCAGGGCCGGGGGCCGACCGCACGAGTGCAGGCCCTCGGCAGGGTGACTTCGTTACTCTTTATCTCCGTGCCTCAGTTTCCCCCTCTGAAATGGGGATTTCGGCTGCAGCCTATGCCTCACCTGGTTGTCTGATGATCAAAGTAGGCTTGGGGTTGGGGTGTCCGTGGGACTGTCACTCCAGCGCTATGCTTTGGCTGGTACCCTCCAAACCCATGTTGTGAGCGGCAACAGGGAGAAACTTAACCCATTTGGGGCGTTTAGATGTGGGGCCTTTAGGATGTAAGGTTTAATAAGGTCACCAGGGTACAGTCCTGAAGAGTGGGGTTGGTGACTTTTAAGTTCTCTTTGCAGCGCTGGGGGTGGAGCCCAGGGCTTCACGAATGTGAGCGCTCTACCCCTGAGATGCACCCCTAGTCCTTCTTAAACTTTTGAGACAGGATCTTGCTAAATTGTCCAGGCTGTCCTTGAACTTGTGACCCTCCTGCCTCAGCCTCCTGAATAGCTAGGATTACAGGTGTGTGCCACTGTACCTGCGCCCACCTCATAGTATATATATTTTTGTTTGTTTGTTTTTTCCGATACTGGGAATCAAACTCACGACCTTGCACTTGCCAGGCAGGCGCTGTGCCGCTGAGCTAAATCCCCAGCCCCTGTATTTTTTCTTTTTCCTTCAGTTTTTTGTTTTTGTTTTTGAGACAGGGTCTCACTGTGCAGTTCCGGCTGGCTTTGAACTCACTATTTAGTCCAGGCTGGCCTTGAACCTGTGGTGATCCTTCTGCCTCAGCCTCAAGAGTGCTGGGACTACAGGTGTGCACCACCACACCTGGCTTCACTTTCTTTCCTCACATGACCAAGGAGTCCGGTGACACAGAGTTCCTGTGGCTCCTGGGGCCAAGCTACATGGGATGGGGCTGACTGGATTCAGGGTGGGAGGTCCGGACCACTGGGGGTGACCCTTGGGGACAATCCCCTTTGTAGCTGGACCATTAGCACCACCCTATGATAGTTTTTTCTTTTTCCTGGGAAGTGGTGGAATTAATTATTACTGTGGCTAAGAGAAGTGCCCAGGGTCTGTGTGGCCACTTCTTGGCAATTAGGGAAGAAGTGACTGTTTCCCATTAAAAGTGACTCATAGGCTGGGTAGTGCACACCTGTAATCCCAATACATGGGAGGCTGAGGCAGGAGGATTGCCATGAGTCTGAGGCCATCCTGGACTACATAGTGAGTTCAGGACCAGCCTGGAATACATAGTGAGACCCCGTCTAAAGAAACAAACAACAGCAACAACAAAAATGGAAGGAAGAAAGAAAGAAGGGCCGGGCATATAGCTCAGTGAAATAAGCTCCTGCCTGGCAAGGCGATTCCCGGTACCAAAAAAAAAAGGAAGCCAGGCGTGGTGGCTCATGCCTGTAATCCCAGCACTTGGGAGGCTGAAGCAAGAGGATCTTCTCGAGTTCCAGACCAGCCTAGGCTATAAAGTGAGCTCAAGGCCAGCCTGAACTGCATAGTGAGACCCTGTCTCAAAAAATAAAAAAATAAAAAATAAAAAAAAAAGAGAGAGAAAGAAAAAAAGCGACTCTTTGGCAGGGGGTGGTGTGCACGCCTGTAATCCCAGCTCTCTGGGAAGCTGAGGCAGAAGGCTGGAGAGTTTGAATCAGCCTGGGCAACTCAGTGAGACTGTCTCAAAATTAAAACAATTGAAAAAGGTGGTGGGGTGGGGTTGTTGCTGGGGATGTAGCTCAGTGTGAAGGCCCTGGGTTCAATATTCAATACAGGTACCAAAAAAAAAAAAAAAAAAAAAAAAGACCTTCGGCAGCCTGGGAGGTGTACAGAGAGAGACTGGTGGTTAGGGTGAAAATTACAATTAGAAAGAAGGAATAAATCGTAGTGTTCTATGTTATAATGAGGTGACTGTTGTTTAAATGATACATATTTCCAAATAGCACTGGGTTTGGTGGCACACACCTGTAATCCCAGCACTTGGGAGGCTGAGGCAGGAAGATCACTATGAGCTCAAGGCCAGCCTGGACCACACAGAGTTCAAGGCCACCCTGAACTACATAGTAAGACCCTTTCTGAAAAAACAAAAGGCCTGCTGTCCTCAGAAGAGAAAAGAACCTGTGAAAAGGAGCAGGAGAGCGCCACCTAAAGGCCAAGAAGCAAGACAGCACCAAAGACCACGCTTGCTCGCACCTTGCCTGTGGGCTTTTGGTCCCCAGAACTTTAAATCTCAGCCACTTGGTCCAAGGGGCAGGGACAGGCGTGCCTGCTCTCAGTGTGGGCACAGGTGAAGGGTCGAAGGCAGGGACCCTGGACCTCAGCATCGCAGTCTTTGCTGAAGGGCTTCCTGGGCATTGTTGGAGGTTGAGCAGGAACCTGACCTCTGCCCACTAGATGGCAGTAGATCGCCACTTTGCACCCACTTTTTTGCCTGTGTGTGGAACTGGGGATTGGACCCAGCGTGTTTGCACTGAGGTTACAGCCCCAGCCCCATTTTTATTTGGGGTTTTGCTGAGTCACTGAACTTGCCCAGGCTGGGTTTGAACTTTCCATCCTCCTGCTTCAGCCTCCTGAGTGCTAAGATTACAGGTGCTGGCCACCACACCCAGCTAATTCTATTACGGTGCCTGGGTTTACATTATTAGTTCTGGCGGGTGGTCAGAACTGACCTCATGGCCTGGGGTGGGGACAGGCCAGAGGGTGGGGAGAGTGGAAGTGGTGTAGCTGAGTCCTTGGGAAGGAGGCTTCAGGGTCCAGGTGAAAAGGAGACATGTTTGAGAATCTGCAGGACTGGCTCAGCCTGTCCCCCAGGGGCCTCACAGCTCCAGCAGAGGAGGCTGAGTGTGCTCAGAAAACGGAAAAAGTGGGGGTGTTGTGTGTGCTCAGCAGCAAGCGCTTGCCTGGCCTTTATAAGGCCCTGGGTTCCATTCCCAGCACTGCAGAAAAAATAAAAAAATAAACCAGATGTGGCGGCACATGCTTCTAATTCCAGGTCTCTGAGAGGCTGAGGCAGGAAGATTGCAAGTTGGACCCTGGCCTGGGCAATTTAGTGACTCAGCAGGACCCTGCCTCAAAATAAAAAATAAAAAAAGCTGGGGGTGTAGCTCAGTGCATAGGGCTTGGGCTCAACCCCCAGTACCAAAATCAAACAAAAGCAAATTAAAAGCCAGCAAGGAAAGGGAGACCCCGGTTCTTTAGCCCCAAGGAATTGTCTGTCAACACCTGGCTTTATAAGTTCAAGCCAAGCCTGGGCAATGTAGCGAGACCTTGTCTCAAAATAAAAAATAAAAAAGTGCTGGAGATGGAGCTCAGTGTGAAGGTCCCAGGTTCAACCCCCATAGTATGAAAAAGAAGCATCCCCCTAAATCTGTGGTACTTGTATGGCTGTTAATGGTTTGGCTTTGAAATGTCCCCCAAAGCTCATGGCTAAAGGGGTGGCTGCATGCGGTTTGGGGAAGGGTTTACTGGAGAGCTGAGGAGTGCGCTCACAAACTGGCCTGGTCCCCTGGGGTGCACAGATGGAGGTCTTGCTTCCTCAGGCCGAGGGCTCAGAGGTGCGGCCTGGAGACAGGGCCGGGTCACTGGCACTGACCTGATCCATGGACTCCTCCCCGCTGACTCACCCACTGATAGCTCACAGCTCACAGGGGCGGAGGATGTGGTGCAAGTGGTGGTGGGGGTCACTGGCCTGTGAGTTCCAAGAACATCTAGTTCTTGGATCCTTCCTTTCTGCTCCTTCTCCTCTCTCTGCTTCCTGGTCCCCATGACGGCTCCTGCCTTGGAGCCCAGGACCATGGACTGAACCTTCTGATACCGTGAGCAGAAGTAAACTTTTTCCTATAGGTTGCTTTTCTCAGGTATTTTTTCATAGCAAGAACTGTGACTCCCACAGTGGCACAGAAAGCAGACATAGGTGTGGAGGCTCTTAAAAGTATTCAGGGTCTCACTAAGTGGCCCAGGCTGGCTTCAAACCAGTGATCCTCCTGCCTCAGCCTCCTGAGTGGCTGAGATGACAGGCTTTTGAGGCTGAGCCTGGTTGAAATTTCTGTTCTTTCTAACATATCCAGTCTGTGTCACTGTGTGGCAGTCAGGTCCACCTGGAAGGAACAGGTCTCACCTGAGCTCTGTTGTCCACCCTGCCAACTCAGCGTCTTCCCACCCTTGGCGGGGCCATCTGCTCGGCTTTTGCCAGCTCCTCTCTCTCTGTCCCTGTTTGCTCTGGGAACTGTGTGCCTCTCCCCACGCCGCAGCATCACTCACTACCAGGTCACATCTGACCTGTCCTCAGGCCTCCGAAACCCGTGCCAGGCACTGGGGCACTGACCGGTGTACAAAGCTGCCCTGGTCACAGTGGACAGTGCCACTGCTTCCTCTCAGTCTGTCCTGCCCGGGAACCCCGCCCGCTGCTCCCTGGTCCCCTCTAAGAATGCAGGGTGAGACCTTGGGGATCTCTCTCTCTCTCTGCAGCACTGGGGACTGAACCAGGGCCTTGGCTCTGAGCTACGTTCTCAGACGTTTTTCTTTTGAGACAAAGTTTCACTAAGCTAAGCTGCCCAGAGTGGGCTGAAACTTGCTGTATTTTTTGAGACAGGGTCTCACTATGCAGGTCAGGCTGGCCTTGAACTTGGCAGGAATCCTCTTGCCTCAGCCTCCCTGGTGCTGGGATTCCAGGTGTGTGCCACCATGCCTGGGTGGACTGGAACATGCAATCCTCCTGCTTCAGCCTCCCAGAGTGCTGGATGACAGACATATACTTGGCTAGGAGGTCACTGTCATATAACTTGTGTCATGCAGTTTGGATTGTGGATCTCCAAAACTGTGAGCTAAATAAACTTTGTCTTTTTGGGAAGTACCCAGGTATTCCAGGATAGTGACAGAAATCAGACCGACCCAGGACTCCATGCTGGCCTCTTCCCATTTATCATCTTCACAGTGGCCAGCAGGAGCCTGTTCAGGGGTGAACTCTATGAGGCCCCTCCTCCCTGAGGCTAAGTTAGTGCCCTCTACCCCCTGTCCTCCGACTCCTGCCCCAGGGCCTTTGCACACAGGGTCGAAGGATCCTCCCCTTGTATCCAGTAATTTATCATCTCATCTCCCTCAGATCTCCATGGACAGCCCCCCTGAACTGTAACCTGCTCTGGCCTCTTCCTTATGGGGTGTCTGGATCCTCTGGCTTCTCAGCTGGCCCAGTTTCCCATCCCACCTGCTCTGCCCTTACCCTTGGCGATCTTGATGTCCAGGGCTGTGCGGATCAGTGCCATGAGGGTGGAATTGAAATGGACAGTGTTGTCATCCGCCACGGGCAGGTCCATCCGCAGGAGCCTCTACAGAAAACCCCGGGGAGGGAGGTCATCCTGAGGCCTCCTGCCTGGGTCCCCGTGAGCCACGCCCACCCTGCCCAGGAGCCCCAGGAAGAACTCTGAGGATGGCAGCAGCCCCTGCTCCAGCCACCTGTCCCACTGTCAGATGTCTTGATGGCCCTCGAGACCAGCCGGGTGGGTGCCTGAGGCTCTTCTATGATCCTAAGTCCGGTTCTCCATTTTGTATTTGTGATGCTGCAGATGGAACCCAGGGCTTTTGCACATGCTAGGCAAACAAACGCTCTACCTCAGAGTTCCATTCCAGCCTTTTGAAAAACTGTTTTGAGATAGGATTTTGTATAATTGCCCGGGCTGGCCGGGAACTTGAGATTCTCGTGCTTCAGCCTGCTGAGTTACTGAAATCCCAGGTAAGCACCACAGCCTGGCTCATTCCTACACTTCTTTTAATTTTTGGACAAGGTCTCTTTATGTAGCCCAAGCTGGCCTTGAACTAGCTAGCAGTGATCCTCCTGCTTCAGCCTCCCGAGTGCTGGGACTCTTTTCAAATCGTACCTTCTGGACCCCACAGCTAGCACTGCCAGCGCTGCCTCTGAATCCTTGCCCTGCCCCCAGAGTTCTTCCGACCGGCCCCGGTCCGTTCTGACCCCGAAGAGAAAGAGAACAAGCCGGTCTCAGGCGCGCATGCAGCAGCCAGGCAGAGGGTCCAGGCCACAGCCGCCGGCTCCCACCCGCCCCCTGCTGGCTGGCCGGCCGGGCCGGACGGAGGGCACCGGGCCGTCATTCCTCGGGAAGCGCAGGCGGCGGCCCCCGCGGACATGCAGCGAGGCCAGACACGAAGGCACAGACAGGGCGCATGCGACGAATCTCGAGACTCAGTCATAGCTCCGTGGGAAGTGTGTCTGGGGCAAGTCCGGGCCTGGCTGTCTGCGGCAGCGGGGAGAAGGGGTGAGGGGCGTTCCCGGGGCCCAGGGAAGGAGTCCCTGCGTCCCAGGAAGGGGCTCTGTCCCCCGCGCTTAGTGGGTGGGAGGGGATACTGGGCTGGCGCGCGCCAGCTCCGGCTAGGTGGCACGGAGATGAAGGTCAAGGGCAGGTCTGGGGCTCGCCAAGGGATTCAGATACACACCGGTAGAGGACACAGAAGGGGTTTACAGTGTGGGGGTGGGGGCGGGGCAGGGAGGAAGGCGGTAGGCAGAAAAACAGACGAGGGGGTGTGCACAGCTGTGCATGTTGGGGACTGCACAAAGGGCTCCCTGTTTTTATTTTTTTTGACACAAGGTCTCACTTTGTCGTTCAGGCTGGCCTTGAACTCACAGCAGTCCTCCTGCTTCACCTTGAACAACCACGTGTGGTTTGGGGCCCTATTTTAGAAGTCATGAACTTTTTTTTTTCCCATAGTGGAAAATGAATCCAGGACCTTTGTACTGAGCTACTTTTGCTGCCCTTTAAAAATCTTTTTGAATTTGTTCAAAACTTTTGCGAAGTCACAGTGTTGCTCAGGCTGGGCTCAGATTTGTGATCTTCCTGCCTCAGCCTCCCAGAATGCTAGGATTATAGGCGTGCACGACTGTGCCCAACTGGATTTATGTATTTAATATGACAGGCTTTTCCTGAATAGCAGGAAAGTGCCTTTTTCTCACCCAGTGGGTGGATTTCCAGTGAAGTGTTCTGTGGAAAGATTTTTCCATCGCCCCCCCCGCCAAAACCTGCAGAGACTAGGAGGGGAGGATTCTCCTTTTCTCTTCCAGCCTTCAATAGAGGCCAGAGAAAAGGACAAGAGGGGAGGGGCACTTTAGGGATGGCTGGGGGGGGGGAGCCAAAACACTCACAGACACAGGGCAGGGGGGCGGGTAGGGGGCAAAGTTTTATAGGGTCCGTTTTGGTAGGGGCAGGGGCATCGTTAAAGGTCTCCCCTGAACTTCCAGGGGATGAGCTGCGGGAACAGAGCATCTGTCCACGGGTGCCGAGGGACAGTCCAGGACAGGTTCTGGAGGGGGGCGGCCAGGTGGCCCTGGCCCTCAGCCAGCATGCAGCACCCCGGTTGCCGTGGTGCCTGCCCCCCAGGCCCCCAGGCAGCGTGCACGGCCTGCGTCTGCGCTACCGTCCAAGTCCAGCTGCGCCTGCTGCCCGCTGGAGCATTGGGGAGGCGTGTGGGGTCTGGGGGTGGGAGCGGGAGGGGGCTGCAGGGGAGGGGAGGAGAGGCTCTAGGGGCTCCTTGGGAGGTGTCGGGTGCCCCGAGGCCCTAGGTCAGAGATCAGCTTCAGGTGTGTGTGTGTGTGTGTGTGTGCTGGGGGCCCAAGCTACCAAAGGTGGGGCCAGGGCCTCTCGCCTTCGCTTGGGGCCCATGTCCCCTTGCCTGGGCGTGGGGTCGCTCCAGGTGGGCACAGACCTGACTGCCCGGAGTCCTGGGGGTGCTGGGGCCCTGGGTGCTCCCTGCCGCCGCCCCCTCCCCCGCGTGTGGCCATAATGGAGTCTCAGAACACGTAGACACTCATCGAAAGGACGGACACAGTGTGCTGCTTTGTCAAGGGATGGTCATGATCCAGGTACTCAGGAGAAAAGAAAAAAGGAAAAAAAAAAAAAAAAAAGAAGAAGAAGAGGAGGAGGAAGGCTGGAAAAAGAGACTCGGCTGGGTGTTTCTGATGAGCACTGAAAAATCCCCAGTGCCGGGCGCGGGGTCGGCAAAGATAGACTACCTTGTACGCCACTCTGGCCGGACACTTCTTCCCCAGCCCCAGGGGAGGGGACATGTGTCTCAGCATCTGATACATGTCCGGGTATGGCATGCGGCCCCTGGCAGTACCGAAAACAAAACACGGGTGGGTGTGGACGGAAAACCAAAGGAGGTGGGGTGGGAGAAACAGAAGAAAGGAGGGGGAGAAACCACAGGAGCCGAAAAAATAGAGAAAGATGCAGAAAATGATAAAATAGATATTTCAAATAAATAGAAAAGAGGAGGAAAAAACGGAAGAAAAGGTAATTAAAAAATCATTATTTCACGGCTCACCAGCAGGGAGAAAGAGAGAAAGAGAGGGAGAGAGAGAAAGAGAGAGATCAGATTCACCCTGGACCCTTACATCTACTTCTGGCAGAGAGAAAGGAGGGTTTTCCTGTTGGATTTTTTGGGGGGGTTTGAGACAGGGTCTCACTATGTCATTCAGGCTGGCCTCAAGTCAAGATCTTCCTGCCTCAGCCTCCCGAGTGTGGGATGACAGGCGTGCGCCACCACGCCCAGCTTTTCATGGTCATTTTAAAAGTGGGGTCAAGTTCTCTGGTTTGGCTGAGGCTGGTCTCTGAGGGGGCCTAGGCGGGGAGGGGAACCGGGTTGGGGGAGGAGGGCTAGGGGCTTTGGGAAGCCAGGGGTGGAGGAGGAGAGAGTGGAGGTGATGGTAGGGGGGCAATGCAGAGTTTCAATCGCCCAGGGAAGTGTCTGATTTGGGGTGCCGTTGAGACCCCAGGATGGGCAGCTTCAGCTAATAGCAAGCAAGGATGGCCGAAGGGAACAGGTAGATATGTTCCATGCTTCACTGAGTCTGCATGGCGGCATTCTGGTGCCTAAGAGTTTTCTAGTTTAATGCAAGAGAGAGCGCTGGCTCTGTGTTGTAGATATGTGTATATATATATATGAAATATATATATTGAAGAACCCCAAGCCACACTCATTCCATTGATGCTAGCAGGTTTTAGTGGAAATCAAACCTTGCAAGCAACCCTATGAGGACATTTCTTGCCTAAGCCGAGAGGGGGAGATATTACTCGCAATAAACTGTACATATCCTTATAATGAATGCGACCGCTGCAAGGAGAAGACAGGGGGTTAGTGGAGGTGGGGGAGGCGTGGCCACACTGGCTCCCTGCACGCAGCAAGGTTGTGGGTTAGGGGCCGAGGACTCCTGGTTGGAGGGCAGGTGGACAGTCGGGGGTCAGTCCCTGACCACACACCCAGATACTGCCCACAGGCCCTGGCGTGGGGCAGCGGGCTTGATCCAGGTGTGCTGGGGACTCTGGGCTAGGAGCGCCTTCCCCAGGCTCTCCCTGCCTCTGCCTCCTGCACAGTTCTACATGGGCTGCACTGGGGGCTGGTGGAATAGAGGAGGAGGGGACAGCATCCAAGTGCTATGACCTAAAATCAAAAGAGGGAGAGTTAAGCATCAGGCAGAAGTCAAGTCCCGGCCCTGTGGCTTACGCCAGCCTCCGACCTCACCACCTAGGGCTGCAGGAACAGCAAAGGGCACTTCTACCCTGCCTTCCTCAAGCGCCACAGGAACATGGGCGCTGCGTCCACCGAAGGCCCACAGGAATGCCCCTCTGGGCCCCACACCCAGCCTGAACTAGAATCCTCTGTTGGAGGCTGGTGCTGTGCCAAAGCTTAATACAGGGGCACGGGCCGGCACTCTTGGAGCCCTCCCCGGCAGCCCACAAGCTCCCTGAAGACGGCAGCACTCTCTCCGGGCCAAGGAGTCAGACACAAGGGCCCCAGGGGCTGCGTCCCCCACCCGCCAGTCTGACCACCTGCTGTCAGGTGCTTCCTTTGGTGCTGGGAACAACTTCCAGGACCTCATACAGCTAGATAAGAGCTCTATAAATTAGCTAAATGCCTGCCTTTGTTCTGAGTTTTTTATTTTTTGGTAGCAGCCTTTTGGTTTTTGCTTTGCATTTTAAGACAGTATCATTATGCAGTTCAGGCTGGCCTTGAACACACTATGTAGCCCGGGCTGGCCTAAAATTTGTCATGATCCTCCTGCCTCAGCCTCGTGAGTGCTGGTATTACGGTTGTGCACCAGCATGCCTGGCTCTGCTTTAAGTTGTTATTTATTTGTTTTTCTTTTAATGTAGTACATGTAGCTATTAATAAAGAAAATATAAGAAATCTTCTGTAAAAAACAAAATTTCATAACAAAATAATTAGAGAATAACAACAGTTGATATACTTTGTACCATAATCTTAAAAGAATGGCCAAAATGTTACTCAGGATCATGGACAAAAAAGACTCTCTCTTATAAAAGAAAGAACAGCGCAAAACTTTCTTTTCAGTGAACTAAGAGAAACTAATAATATAAGTGAAACAAATTAGCAGATCTGTTGAAATACGTTTGAAATAACAGAGTGGAGAATTTGAGGAAATGTCTCAGTTTCTCCCTATTTCCTATTTTTCTGTCTTCTATTTTGCTCTGTATGTGTATATATTTTGAGATTCTCATATAAGCGAGACTGTGCAATATCTGAGCTTGCGTGTCTGACTTTCTCACTTAACACTGTGTTCTCAAGCTGTGTCCATCTGCCTAGGAAGGCCTGCTCTGCCCCAAGTCCTGAGCTGGGTTCTGCTGTTGTCTCTTCTGCCAACTCAGGCTACAGCCCGCCCCACACCCAAGACCTCTGGTTTCTCCTTGGCCTCCTGAGGGGACCGAAGCGCCCTTGGCCTCACTGGGGGCTGGTGCTCTGAGCAACCCGTTCCTGACTCCTGCCCTCCTTCCCTCAGAAGCCCTAGGGTGCAGGGAGGGGTGCACCCATGCCTTCCACGTGCTGAGTGTGGGCTCAGGGCTCTTGCTCCTCCTCTGTACTTGCTCCCACCAGGTCTCGTCTCTGATCCAGGCGCTGGCAGCTGGGACTTGTCCCGCCCCTGTCCCACCCCAGGGAAAGGCGGGCAGTGGGGTTGGGAGATTCGAGGTGACTCCTTACCAAGCTGCAGGGTCGTACTCGGCCCAGACACGCACATACTCGTCCAGGTGGTGGGGTCCCAGGATGGAGGAGTCTCGGGTAAGGTACTCAAAGTTGTCCATGATGACCGCTACGAAGAGGTTCAGCATCTGGGGGACCCCGGGGGCCAAGAGGAAGCACCAGGGAGAGTCAGGGTGGGGACGTGCACTTGGATACATGCATGCCAATGCGTGGGGGCGGGGAGGAGGGAGGGGCCCAGAGAGAACAGACACAGGAGGGACGGCGAGGGAAGGGGGGACAGAGATCCCAAAGAGTTGGGGGAAGGAGAGAGGAGACAGGTGGAGATGTAGAGATACAAAGACCGACAGTGCTGAGAAGTGATAGAGGGAGGCTCTGAGACACGAGAGGCAGCAGGACCACATTTGTCCCCTGCAAGGCCGAAGTGAGCTGTTTCCCTGGGTCTCCAATAGGGGACGTTTTTGTTTGTCACCATGAGGGGACAGCGCACTGTGTGCAACTGGGGGCTGCAGTGCCTGGGACAGCCTCAGGACGGGGCATCACCTCCAAGCTGAGCAGCTTGGGGTCCCCACATCCCAGGCTGGCTCAGGGCAGCTCTGTAGGGAGCAATCCTTGGAAGCCGGTCATAGCCTAGAGAAGTCAATCCGGCCTGCAGAGCGAGGCATGGGGAGGGACAGCCTCTTTCATGTCCAAAGCCTCACCAGAGGGCCAGGGGCTTAGCTCAGTGGCACAGCACCTGCCTGGCAAGTATGAGGTCCTGAGTTCGATTCCTGGCACCCCCCCCGCAAAACAACAACAAAAAACCCCCAAATCCTCACCAGAAATGAGCAGAGGAAGATGAAGGAGACGAAGTAAAAGTATGCGAATTCATTGCCGCAGTCTGCAGTCAGGATCCCGGAGTTCTTATCGCACGGCTTCCCGCTCAGGCAGGACAGCATGATGTTGTGCCAGGCTTCCCCGGTGGCGCTCCTGGGAACGGGGGGGAGTGTCAGGGGCCCCTTGCAGGGCAGGAGAGCACACAGGGGAAGCACGTGGGCTTGGGTCTGAAGGGCCAGGGCTCAAGTCTCAGTGAGGTCGGAGCAAGAGCAGGGACAAGGAAACCACGGGAAGCCACGGGGCACAGACTCAAGATGCCACACAAAGCAAAAGTGACTGTCAAAGCATCAGAAAACCAACAGGTAAAGGTCACCCTGTCCCCAACACATCCAGGAGTGAGCAAACCCACAAAGCCATGATCCTGGCCTGGTCCAACCTCATCTACACTGCAGCTTTGACCCCACCCCCAGGACTATGATGCTATGAAGCTTGCTCTAAAATGCTTGTGTAGTCAGAAACTTCCACCTCCCCATGGCTGGCTGAGTCAGGCACCCATTGGGGCATGATTCTGTCAATCTCCAGCTCTAGACCCTCCCACAACAGCTCTGCCTGCGGACCTAGCTGTTCCTACAGGGCTGTGAGCTCTTCTCCTTCACCCCTCCCACCCACCCTGTGAAGTTCACTGTTGCTTCTGCCCTTTTAATAAATCTTATCCTCCACCCCTTTTTTTTGAGACAGGGTCTGGCTATGTAGTTCAAGCTGGCCTTGAACTTGCACCGATCTTCCTGCCTCAGCCTCCTGAGAGCTGAGATTACAGGTGTGCGCCCCACACCCAAATATAACCTTACTCTTGTTACTCCATTTGAGTGATCTATATATTCTTTACTTGGGACCCCAGGACCCTGGAAATAACTCCCTAAGCCCCCCCCCCCCAATCTGGCAACATCAGGAAGAGCCCATCATCTCCTAGCTTTGTCCCCCGAGGCATTCTACTGTGAACACGCTGGACTTCTCGCTATTCTCATACATCCCAGCCACTCCTGCCTCTGGGCCTCTGCTGGGCTGCTCCTGGCCAGCTCCTGGCCAGCTCCTGATACAGCTTCACCCCTTACCTGGTTTTCTCAAACATCACACCACAGAGAGGCCTGACCTATTGCCCTCCATTCCTTTTTTCCATTGTCAGATGGAAGTTCTCTTTTTCTTCCTTCCTGCTTTCTTTTCTTTTCCTTTTCTTTGGAGGCAGGGTCTCATTATATAGTTCAGGCTGAACTTCAACTCACTATGTAGCCCCAGGCTGACCTCTTGCCTCAGCTTCCTGAGTGCTGGGTCTACAGGAGTGTGTCGTAATGCCTGACGAAAGTTTTCTTTTTAAAGTGTGGCTAAATATACATATTATACAATATACCATTTTAATCACTTTGAAATACACAATTCAGCACCTTCATATTATTATGCAACCATCACCTGTATCCATCTCCAGAGCTTTTTCATCATCTCAGAGATTCTGTCCCCATTAAATACTACTCATTGCCTCCTTCTCCAGCCCCTAGCATCCTACTTGTTACCTCTATGAATTCCCTCATTCTGGGTACATCCTACAAGTGCTGGTGTGTATGTGTGTGTGTTTAGATTTTTTTGAGACAGGGTCTTGCTATGTAGTTCAAGTTGGCCTTGAACTCATTATGTAGCCCGGGCTGGTTCTGAACTTGCAGTGATCCTCCTGCCTCAGCCTCCTGAGTGTTGGTATTGTAGGTGTGCGCCACTACATCCAGCAGTATTTGTCCTTTTGTGTCTCTATTTTCTCCTGATCTTAATTTCTTCCCCTTCCCCCCAAGTTTTTAAATGTCTCTAGAGGATCCTTTATAATTAGTTTACCAATTTTCTCTTCCCTGTGGGAGCATAAACTCCCGAAGGGCAGAACATGTTTCCTCTTTCCCTGTCCTGTGTCCCTTGCTGGGCCCCACTCCCTGTTGCAGTGTTTGGCACACAGTAACTGCTCCATGTGCCTCCATGAAGGAATGGTGGGACTCTATGTGCAGCCAGGATCCACAGCCAAAGATCAAGCCTCTGAATCGGTGTGTCTCCACTTCACAGGGCGGTCAGCAAGACTCAATGAGATAACACCTGGAAAAGGACTTCCGGGTCTTGGGCTCCTGCCCTGCCAGGTTCCTTGCGCCCCTATCCCATCCCAATCCTCATCAGAGGAGCAGAATGGCTCTGAGGCACTGAGATTGGGGCACGCCCTCACCAGAAGGGGAGGACGAGGACACGCCCCAGTGCGAAACCACGCCCCCAGAGCAGACCGATGAAGCCACGCCCCCTCTCACCGGAAGAGAAGCATGAGGGCCTGAAAGAAGGTCCGGAAGTTGTTGTGCTCAGTGATTTGGAACTCATCCTCGTCACTGTCTTCGTCCTCCACATCTATGCCAATGTTGCCAAATACCTAAAGAGGGGGAGGATGACGACCAGAGACAGCCATGCCCCTCCACCCAGAGGCTCCAGGGAAACCTAGTAAATCTCTACGGTTGTCCCTCTGTTTGGGGGCCTTGGGCCTTTCCTCGCCTAAGGGTCCTGCCCTCCTGGGGAAGCTCTGGGGATCTCGGGGATGCAGCACTTACCTGCATGCCGATGATGGCGTAGATGAAGAAAAGCATGGCAATGAGCAGACAGACATAGGGCAGGGCCTGGTGGGAAGGAGGAAGGCAGTGAGGAGGGGTGTTGTGGTCCCTTATCCACACCCTCCCCTGCCCTTGACCCCTGGCCACAGGCTGTGCCAGTCGTGCAGGGCTGGTGGGCATCTTTGGGGGAGACTGGGTTGGGGCTTTGGAGGTGTGAAGACACAGCAGGGGCCGGAAGTTAGACAAGAGCTGTGTGGAGACAGACCCTCTGGCGGGCTGCACCCCAGAGGCACTTCCGGTCCAGCTGCCACGTTCCTCCCAGACCGGGTGCCTGGGCCACAGGCGGGGCAGGAGCTCACCTTGAAGGACTGCACGAAGGTCCAGAGGAGAATGCGGATGGTGTACCCCTGACGGAGGAGCTTGATGAGCCGGGCAGCCCGGAAGAGGCGGAGGAAGCTCAGGTTGATGAAGTTATTCTGGGGAGACGGAAGCAGAGGGGTGACCATCCACCCACCCGGAGGGGCTCAGACCTGTCACCACTCACAGAGGCCCCTACATGAAGCCAACCAACAGGAAAAAAGCAAGCCAGACCCCAAATAAGGAGGGAGAGGAGAGAAAGCACTATTAATGCAAATGGAGCAGAGAAAAACTCGGAAAAAAAGAAAGTCAGAGGGGAGAAAGGGAGGGAGGGAGAAGAGGCATCAACTCAAAAGCATACTTCTTCCTGCCAGCCCCGCCCACAAGGGGGAAAAGGAAAGAAAAACTGGAGGGGGAAAGAAACCGGAGGGGGGGGGCGGCGGGAGGGAGAAATAACAAAAGAACAAGGAAAAGAAAATACATCCGAATCATCCAATCAGGAAAAAAATCAAGATGGTTTTTGTTTCTCCCAACAACCAAATGCACTGAGACAAAGGACACAAGCGGGTCAAACGGCAGGACCCATCGCAAGGGGACGAGGCACAAACACCGGCGGGTGGGGGTGGGGTTGCCAGCACCAGGCCTGGTGGACACGTGCGGGTTCCAAGGGCATGTTACGCTCCGAGCCAGAAATGCATCTGCCACGGGACTCACCGGGCACCTGCCCTGCCCTGCCCTGCCGAGCTGCCCACCCGCTCCTGCCCGCCCTGACCTCGCTCCGCGGCCAAGAGGTGCAGCGGCTGGCGCCAGGGGAGAAGCGGAAGAGCATCTTTTCTTACCCCCTTGGCGGGAATGGGGAGGACGGGAGGGAGCTGGGGCTGTTCGGCTGCAGGGTGAGTCCTCGCTGCCCGCTGAGTCGGAGAAGATGCATTTGGGACCCTTTCCCCCCTCTCAGGGATGGCTTCTCAGCTTCTGGGACTGGGTGGAGTGTCACGGGACCAGGCCTGCGGGAAGCAGGAATGACTCAGCTCCCGGGCCAGTGAGCTGGGGATCAGCCCTGGGCCCACCAAGGGGCAGGAGCTGGGGTGGGAGGTGGGGCCGTCCCTGCCCCCAGGACCTCCCTGGGTGGCCCCTGGCTCTGTTGCAAACCCCACGTCTAGTCACTGCCTCTGTTTCCTCCCACCTGAGCTAGAAACCAGCTGGAAACGGTGCGCAAGGCCTGCCGCTGTGGCAGGACTGTCCTGGGGCTCCAGGGCACCCTGGTGGAGGGGGCAAGGCCAGGCATCCACAAGGGGTGACCTGATTTGGCCAATGAAACTAATTAGTTGGGCTTCAACAGTCTTTTTTAAAAAATGAAAAATAATTTGACTTAGACAAAAATCAGATTTGCCCGCTGATCTGGCTGCCTGGCACCCAGGCCTCTGACAGCTGCCCCCTGGAAGCAGACGACAGGCTGTCCAGTTTTCCACCATCCCCTGGAAGTGACATCTGCTTTCCCGGGGCGCTGGTGTCTGCTTGACCTCCAAAGGCATCTAAGCCTGAGAGCCCTGTGCAGGAGACCGGAAATCACTTGCCCGTGTCCAGCGGGCTGAGGGCCGGAGGGCCTCCCACTACGAGGTGGACCCTGATGTGTGGGAAGTGTAGGCGCCCCACAGCAAGCTTTAACTCCGTCTAGCCCTCCCTCCACAAATGGCGCACGGTGACTGCACGGGTTGTCCTGATAACTGCAGCTGCCTGCCCGCTTTGGCAGTGAGTTCTGTGTGCCGTCTTTCTCCTTGGCATTTCCCGGCAGGCTTCCTACCACTGGGTCTGTGTCCTGCGCTAGCTCTGGCCTGGAGCTGAGAGGCAGGGACTGACACGCAGGGACTCTGGAGGCTCGCAAGAGGCCTCTGGGTTTGCTGCTAACGTCTCCAGCGCTCTCTGGCCAATGTCAACGGACATTGGGGTGGGGAAAGCGGCTGGAGGATTCTACCCCGGACACTCCAGCCCCAGCCTGTAGTCCCAAGTGCCTGGCACAAGCCCCCAATCCCAGGTTGGTTCAGAGTCAGCTCAGTGGTCGGCTGACCTGACCCCCAGCCCTGCCTGGCACCCAGCTCCATCTGGGGATGGGGCCTGTGGCCCAGGTATCCCCGGCACCCTCTTGTGCACCCCCAGAGTACAAGCCATCCCTTCCACGGGGCGGACCATAACATGTGGGCTCGGTGGGGCATGCACAGGCAGGCGGGCCCTGGGGAGCAGCCTGGGGTGCAGCTGCCACTATGCAGAAGCAGCAGGGGTCTGGCGGGGATGTGCAGAGCATGCCGTCCCGGGGGGAGGAGACACACGAGGGTGGGGCGGAGATGGGAGGGGGCGGGGGTGGGGGGTCCCGGGCAGCCCTCATCCTTCCTGGGTCTGCGCTGCCACCTGGCATCCACAGAACGTTCAAGGCGCTCCCTCCTGGACCGCTACCTATACCTCTCCTTGGGGTCCTCTCTGCTCAGGGACACCTCTGGGGGCAGCTGTGCTTCAGTGCATGGAAACCACCCCCACAGGGGCTACAGAGAAACCCCGTCCTTGCAGACCCTGCTTCTAGCCCCGACCTCACCTCCACGCTCCTGACCACGACCTGCCTGCCCGACTGCAAGGCCACCTCCAGCTCCTCATGTCCACACTTGCTCTTCCCCCCAGCCTGGCGCTGCCTAAGCACCACTCCCCGTTTTCAGCCAGGCTGGGGGATACCCCAGGGCACCTCACATGGGACCCATCTCCAGGTCCTGGGGCTCCTACTGTCCTCCGCCCCCGCACTGTCAACCCTCGCTGGGTTTCCTGCCCAGCTCCAGCCCAGCCCCGTCCTGCTTCACGGCTGTGGTGGTCTTGTCTCATCACACTCCTGATGGCGCCATCTTTACATCAAACCTTCCTTGGCCTCTACTGGTGCTTAGGATAAAGCCGATTTCACACCAGAGCCCTAGGGCCCTGCCTGCTTCAGCTTTCTCGGGGTCACGCCTTCTGCTCTCTGTGCTCCACTCACAGCCCCTCACTTGCATTCGCTCACTCCTGCACTCCCCGCCCTGCTCCAGGACCCCTGCATGTGGCGCGCTGGGGCCTGGTAATGGGGAGGTGGTGTGTGGAGGGTTGTGGGTGTGATATGCTGGGTGACTGATGTGATAGAGAGGGAAGAAGAGAGAGAGGAGGGAGAGGCAGAGAGAAGAGAGAGAGAGGAGACTGAGAGAGATCCAGCGGGGCTGGGAGCAGCTGGGCAGGTCCGCGTGGTGAGAGAGTCCAGGCGTGCGGCGATGTGTGTGGGATGAGACGGCCCTCTTGTCCTGGTAGAGACGCCTACGCGGAAGACCATACCCTGTTTTCTGCTAAGGACCCAAACCTACTCAGACCGGAAGCCCCCAGCCCAAAACCAGATAAAAATCACCAGAGGGAGGGAGCGCTGTAGGGACAGAGGGAGAAGGGCCGGGGCGCGGTTGGGCGGGCCAGACAGACAGACAGAAGGGAGGGCGGGGAGCGCAGCAGGCGTCCGCAGTTGGAAAGCCGGGGTGGGCCATGCCATACAATGCGAGAGGTGCGTTCACAGTTAATGTAGGGTATTTAGACTTCAGAAAGAAGTAACACCAACCGGATTCTAGATGCAGATGTTGAAGATGGAGGGGAAGCGGGCGGGCGGGGGCGGTTGGGGAGGCGTTTCAGCGTTTTTTAGGTTGATTTGTAACCAGTGCCAAAAAACCAATGGGTTTCGGTTCCCCGGGCGGGGAGTGGGAGTGGTGGTGGCGGTGGGTTGGGAGATAAAAGTCATTGGTGTATGAGTACATAGACCACGTCATGGATGAACAAATGAATTTCATAGTGCATTTTGATTGGATGAGTTTTTCAGACGGCGTTGTGCCAATATACAGTTTAAACAGCAGGCATGAAAAGAGACAAGAAACACAGTCATTATCCATCGAGAACAGGACAAACCCACGTCACCCCGTCCACCTGCAGGGGGCAGCAGCACAAGCCCGAGGGCAGCGCTGGCTGCTCCGCCCCCCATCGCCCGCTCCTGCCTTCCCAAGGGCCCCTCCCCCTGCTCCTCTCCGCTGGGCTCTGGCCTCACATCTGCCGGCCTTACCTGGGAGGCAGAGAGGGGGCGACTGAGACCTGACGCAGCTGAGACCTGGTCATCCTACGAGGCCCAAACCCACCTGCTGTCTTTCCCTCAAAATGACGGTAGTTCAGGGCCAGCTGTCAAACTGCACACCCAAGGGCAGCCACGGCAATAATAGCAATACAAATAATAACCTGCCCCATGGGGAACTATTTATTACCTGGTGGGTTCGGTGCCAAGCACTTCACACTGACTGCACTTTATTTTTTAATTTTAATTTTTTTGAAGTATGGAGGGCTGAACCCAGGAACTCCATACTTAGCTATGGCCCCTACCCCTTTCTTTTTTTTTTTTTTTTTTTTGAGACAGGGTCTTGCTGTGTAATTCAAGCCGCCCTTGCCCTCACTATGTAGCCCAATCTGGCCTTGAACTCATGACTATCCTCCTGCCTCAGCCTCCTGAGTGCTGGGATCACAGGCATGTGCCACCACACCCAGCCTGAGTGCTCTTACTTATACAAAAAAGTTGTCCTCTCCCCCCCTAAAGCACTGGTTCTGGGGAGAGGAGGCGCGTTCTGCATGTCTGTCTTTTTTTTTGGTACCGGGAATTGAACTCAGGACCTTGTGCTTGTCAGGCAGATGCTTGTGCCACTGAGCTATATCCCCGGCCCCTGCAGGTCGTCTGTCTTGCCTGGTGTTCTGTCTCTGTCATGTAACCGTGCCTGGCAAACGGAAAGCCCTGGACGTGTGCCTGTTGAATGCATGTAGGAGCGAGTCTGTAAGTGGCTGATGAGGTTAGCGGTGACTGTGGCTCCTTGTCTTCACAAGAAGGGGTAAGAAACTGTCCGAGATCAAGCCGGTGGTCAAGAGGGCTGCCTGGCTACTGCACTAGTCCCCGTGTCTGACTGGCTCTGATCCCTCACCGTTCCGCCCTTCCTGGTGCTACCAACACAACAGGCAGTTGGGATTTCACCTTATAGATCTGTTACCAACAAGCAGAGGTTTCAAGCAACTTCTTTCACCTGCCCGGCTGGGAGCTAAGCAGCCCCTCTCAACTTTAGGACTCAGGGACCCTGGCTCAGATCGCAGTGGGCTCAACCAAGCCAAGCGGCAAGCGCTCCCAACTGCCTCCTGCAGCTCCTGGCCTCCCTAGAAATGTAGCACAGAGGACTGGGCAGGTGCTGGCTCTGCTGGGCAGCCTGGCGGGGGAGACTGCAGAGGTGGGCGTGGCTTCTCCGGGGAAGAGGATTTGGGGCACAAATGCAGCTGAAGGTAAGAAGAAATGTGGCCCAGATGCCACTTCCATGGGGCACTGGGGACACGTCAGTGACAGACCCGCCTTTCCAGCTCCCCAGCCTTCCGGGAGCAAGAGTGGGTAAGCTGACCCCTCTCTGCTGGGGTCAGGTAGGACACCCTAGGGCCGAAACTCAGGAGTCCCTCGGCTTGAATACGTGACCTTGGGCAGGTTCTCTGGCCTCTTTCTGGTTCACCTTGGCCAGCAGGAGGTACTGGCAGGAGACCGTGTGTGTGTGTGTGTGTGTGTGTGTGTGTGTGTGTGTGTTAGGGGAAGGAGGCAGGGATTCTCTTCCTCCTGCTCTGCGCTGGCTCTGGCTCCCTCCACCTGGGCCCCTCCCACCTCAGCACCTGGCAGGTGACGGCTGCTACAGTGGCTGACCTGTGCCTCACCAGTGGGTGTGTCCCCTTCCCCTCCTCGGCACGAGCCTCTGTGTTCCGATCCTACCATCCGAATCCCTTGAGGAAACTTTTTTCCAGGGGTGGGGGTTCTGGGGATTGAACCCAGGGCCTTCTCACTAAGCTATGTCCCCAGCCCTTTAAAACTTTTTATATTTTGAAACAGGGTCTCAGTAAGTTGCTAAGCTGTCTGGAATGGGCTCAAACTTGAAACCCTCCTGCCTCAGCCTCCTAGAGCACTGGAATGACAGGCGGGAGCCACATGCCAGGCTGAAGGAATCCTCAGGCACCGCTCAGAGACCCTCACCAGAAGCCAATCCGTGTGACCTGCTTGGCACAGCGGCTGGCAGGCAGCCAAGGGCACGACCCTCATCAGCTATTATTATTACTACTGTCACTGCTATTAGGAGGCTGCTGTACCCACCCAAGCCCCTGGCCCTTGTGCCCCCAGGGGGAACATCCTACTCTCCTTTCATCTGCTGAGGGTCCCCAAGCCTGGGCTTACTGGCACATGGCCAAGGACAGGGTCTGGACAGGGACTCTGGGGCCCGAGATTCAGAAAACAAGAAGGGTGGTGTGTGAGACGCAGAGCAGCCACCGGCCCTGCGTGGCCTGGCACTGTGTGCTGCTTTGGAGTGGGGCTCCCTGGGGCCTCTCAGTGCCAGCCGCGCTGTTTCTCATAAACCCACGCCCACCCCGCGCGCTGGCCCTACACTGGGGCTTGGCCACTCCCACCGCCCCCAACGGGCTGCCTGGAACCCCCCACCCTGTTCTCCCCCAATGGCCCCACCAGATGTGGCTGTGGCTCTGGGGAGCTGCTGCTCACCCCGCCCCACCCCTCACCCCACCCAGCCCGAGCCGCCAGGAGAGAAGCCGGCGGGAGACTCACCCCAAACTCCGTCACGAGGATGTCTGTGATGCTGCCCAGGACAGTCACAAAGTCGAAGATGTTCCAGGCATCGCGGAAATAATTCTAGAACAGGGACCCACAAGACAGAGATGCCAACGGGGGGCTCTGTGCCAGCCCCCCAGGCTGGTAGGGGCACATTAGGGGCACCACTGTCACATTCAAATGCATGAGCTGCTGTGGCAGTGGCTGCTTCAGCGCTGGGGATTGAACCCTGCTCTTCACACCGAGCTACATCCCCAGTGCCTCCCCCGCTTTCGGGAGACAGGGTTTTGCTTTGTAGTTTAGGCTGGCCTTGAACTCACTACACAGCCCAGGCTGGCCTCAGACTCCCAGTGATTCCCCTGCCTCAGTCTCCTGTCAGGTGTGCATCACCACAGCTGCCTGCTCCAGCCCTTTCTATTTTGGGAGAAAATACTTAGCTACTTGCTAAGTAGCTAAGTTGGCCAGGCTGGGCTCAAATTTGGGAGATCCTCCTGCCTCAGCTGCCCAGAGTGCTGGGATTACACATACGCAGCACCAGGCCCTCCCAGCTCCTCTATATCATTTGCTCCAAGTCCCCCTTCCTGGGACTCTCAGGCTTTTCCATAACTTGCCTGTGCCCAGATGGGGGGTCTGGTTCTGCCTCTGCATTGCTAGGCAACAGGCTGCCCAGTGGGAGTGGGGTCTGTATGTCCAAGAGCTCCCTAAGCCAACAGAAAGGACGTCACTGGGGTCCTGACAAGGATTTCCTAGGAAAACAGCTTTACCCATTTCCTGGGACCACTTTAGGTTTGGAGATGAAAGCTACTCATCTGACCAAGGTGTGCAGCCAGGATTTGACCCCAGGGTCCAGGGTCTGCAGTCAGGACCCCACTGTCCGCATAGTACATTTACCAGGTGGGCAAAATCTGGGTTCTAATCCCAGTTCTACTGCCAGAGCTGTGTGGTTATGAGCAAGTGGCTCAATCTCTGTGGGCCTCCATTTCCTGCTCTGGAGGACAATACCAGAAGTAAAGCCTGGGCTTAGGAACAGTGGCCTTGAGCCTTCCAGCATGTGAGCTGTGCTTCCTGCCCCCTTGTGGTTAGGTGGAGCTTTGTGGCTGCTGTAAGCAGAGGTAGTGTGGTCACTTCCTGGCCAGCAAGAGGCTCTCCACAATTCTCTCAAAACTGGGCCTGGGACCAGCAACACCCAGATAGGAGCTACTCCATGATCCCAGGTCCCTAGGTAACTAGGAAGAGAAAGCCCCCTCATCCTATAGGGTGTGAAAAACCCCAAGATAAAACAAAACCCTTTGCTGATGGAAGCTACTGAGATGTAGGGCGTGTTTGTTACTGCAGCTTAACTTGATCTTTCCTGACTGACACATCCCTGGGCTGAGTGCTGGCTATCTGCTGGTACTGCTGCATTGCTGCTGTCCACATCCTGAAATAGCCCATGCTGTGTGGTAAACATCACAGTCCCCAGCCCCCTGAGGGCTTCCTGCTCCCCTCAACCTAGCACAGGAATGGTGATGCTTGCACCTGTAGGAGGGAACTATGCTCTGACTTATGTGTCCACTCCTAGCAGCATCTTGCTTGGAACTAAGAGTCAGGGTCTAGCAGAGGATGGCCTTGCCCTGGGGCCTCAGTGGATTCTGTGGAGAGCACAGGCCCTCAGGAGCCTCACCAGAGCAGGTCAGGGCCGGCGTGCTGGCTTCAGGGCTCAGCTTTTTTTTTTTTTTTTTTTTGGTTTTTCTCCGGTACCGGGAACCGAACTCACGACCTTGCGCTTGCCAGGCAGGCACTTTTGCCGCTGAGCTAAATCCCCAGCCCCTAGGGCTCAGCTTTTGCCCTAAGCGTTGGACTCTGAGGCCGCCCTCCTGCTTCCCTGGGTGCTTCCCTGTCCCTGCTCTTCCTCCCCTCTCCTCTCCTGTTCTTCTTGGGGGTCTTTTTCCAGATAAACTCCTTGCACTTAACCTTTGACTCAGGCTCTGCTTTTGAGGAACAGTAAATGGAACACTCTTCTAGGTGTCTGTACACAGACCTTAAGCCTCCGGGACGGGAGGTTTCCTTCTAGTGCCTGAATGCCATAGGGGGTATTCTGGGCTTCATCTGGACTGGAAAGGGGCAGATCAGAGCAGACTCTGCTAAACCAGCAGGGAGAAGGAGCCTCAGTCCCCGGCAGAAGAATCACCTCAACAGTGCAAGAATAAAACAACCGCACACCCAGCTCCTCTCCACTGGGGGCCATGTGCACAGTCTCCCCATCCTGCACACGGAGGCCAAGGAGCTGGTGGAGGCCACACTGCTAGACAGGGGAAGAGGCAGGATTAGAATCCAGGACAGGTGCACAGGAAGCTGGCTCCTCCCTGGCCATGTTCTGGGCTGCATCCTGTGTCACACGGCCCTTGGCAGTCATCTTCAACACCAGAATGCTGAGCCGCTGGCCCTGTCCTGATGCGGGATGTCTCCTCTGACTGGTGGGTGCTAAGTGTCATGCCTGACGGCCGGTGGGACCTTGGTGTCCCCTGGGGACCCTCATTAGAAACCATGGCAGCTCAGAAAAGTGCATCAGAACTTCTGGAGGTCAGTCTGGGGCACCAGGCCAGTTTTTTCTTTTTGCAGTACTGGAGATTGAACCCAGGGCTTTTGCCTTCAGCTACATCCCATTTTATTAGTGTTGTTATTATTTTTAAATCTTGAGACAAGGTGTTGTTCAGTCAGTAAGTAGCCAGGCTGGGCTTGAACTTGGGATCCTCCTGCCTCAGCCTCCCAGGGTGCTTCTGATGGGTGATATCCCTTCCTCAGCAAAGCCATTGCTTTAGGGGACAAAGGCAGGCAGGTGTTTTTTGTTGCGACCCCATTGATGGGCACTCACTTCACACTGGGCTTCACCCCAGCCCTCCTCTGGACGCACACATACTATTCAGGGCTCACAGCGTCCTCCTGGTGATGGCCAGGGCAGAGCCTGGGTACGATGTGCACAGTGAAGTGGGTTTGGATCTGGGTTTTTCCAGCACTGAAGCTGATGTCCTTAGTGCCTCAGGAAGTCACAGTGGACCCAGTCTTCTGAAAGCCATTCTCTTCAAAGATGGACTGACTCAACCAGTTGTTAAGAAAGCAGACATCCTGGCTCCAGCTCCAGCTCAGCCATTCACAGGGGAACTTCCAACGTCACTTAACAAGTCCCTCCATGCTATCATTTGGGTCCTCAAGATCTTCCAAAGGCCTATACGAAAGAGGCTTGGTTGCCAATCTGTGGAGCTACAAGGAGGTTGTGGGACCTTTAAGAGGTGGGACGAAGTGAGGTCACTGGGGGGCGTGGCCTTGGAGAGGCTATTAGGATCCCGGCCCCTTCCTGTGTTTTTGCTTCTAAGCTGCTCAGAAGTGAATAAACATTCTCTGTCAAGGGCTCCTGCCAGGACAGACCATGCTGCCACAGGCCCCAAGCCACAGTGCCAACTCAGCACAGACCAGAACTGTGATCTAAAATAAGTCTTTCCTTCCTTTAAGTTGATGACCTCAAGTATTTTGTCACAGCAATGGAAAGCTGACTAACACATTGCAAGTCACAACCTATCAGCAGCCCTTTCTTTTTCTTCTTCTTCTCCTTCTCCGTCTCTTCTTCTTTCTCTTCCTTTAGTGTTGCTGGAGATTAAATGCAGGGCTTTTGCACTGAGCTACATTGGCAATGCTTTTTTATTTCAAGACAGGGTGTTGCTACGTGACTCAAAGTCGTGATTCTCCTGCCTCAGCCTCCCACACTACTGGGCTTACAGACGTGTGTCACCATGCCCAACACTTCTTTTCTCTCCATTCTGTTTGCCTATTCCTTTCTTCCTTCCTTCCTTTCTCCCTTTCGCTCTTCTTTCTCTCTCTCTCTTCCCTCCCCTTCCCAATCTGACCCTCACCTTCCTTTACCTTCCCCTCCCTCCGTCCCTTCCTTCCTCTTTTTCCTTTTATGACCTCCCTTTGGCATCTTTTTTATTTTTTATCTTTTTGAGACAGGGTCTCACTACATAGTTCAGGCTGGCCTTGAGTTCACTTTGTAGCCCAGGCTGGTCTTGAACTCACAATGATCCTCCTGCCTCAGCCTCCCAAGTACTAGGATTACAGGCATGCAACACCATGCCCAGCTCCCTTGGCCATTTTGAAAGACTTTCTCAAAGTAACATTGGTAAGTCCATAAAATAAAATAGCCAGAATCAGGAGACCTGTTCTTACTGATATGCTTTTGCAAAAAAAAAAAAAAAAATTAAAAATGGTAATCTAACACTTCATAATTCATTAACACACCAAATAATGAGTTCTAGATGTAGGTTTAATGGCCACCAGCATTTTGAAACAATAATAAGCATAAATGAGAATTGAAGGTATTCGTAACACTGATCATGCAGTATGAAAATATCTGATTTTTATATATGACATGGGCCATGTTGAGAATACTGCATCGGTTTTGTCATCTACTGTTACACTTGGTTAAGCGTCTCCTAAAGGTGCATGCGTTCAAAGCTTGGTGCTCAGATGGTGGCACTATAGAGAGGTGGTGGAATCTTTAAGGGTGGGGCCCAGTGGGAGGAAGTGAGGTCACAGGGGGCAGGGCCTAAGGGGAGGAAGTGAGGTCACTGGGGGTGTGGCCTCAATGGGGATAGTAGGATCCTGGATCCTTCCTGTCTCTGTGCTTCCTAGCCATCATGAGGTGGCTCAGCTCCACCACATTCCTGCCATAATGCTCTGCCCACCCCAGGCCCAAATGCAATGGGGCAACAGACCATGGAGTAAAACCTCTGAAACCATGAGTCAAATAAATCTTTTTTCCCTGGAAGTTAACTAACTCAGGTATTTTGTGACAGTGATGGAAAGTGAATGAGCACATCAGCCTTCAAGATGAAAGAAAATACTCAACGTCAGTGGCTGGTGAAAAATGAAGATGGGAATCTTTTTTCCATCTGATTTCACAGGATCACACTGGCCCACTCTCATCTACCGATCTGATCCTCTTAGGCGGGGAAAGCTTGTAGGTTAAGACCACGTGTACCAGTGGAGATGAAATCCAGCTAGTGGCTCATACAATCCACTTAAAAGAAAAGGAAATAGATCTGAATAGGATAGCCAGTTTTAAAGTCTAAGATTAGATGCTGGTTTCCTGAGCATTCCAGGAAATGTTGTCCTGGTTATCTGCACACCTGTCTGCACACGGGGCTCTGTGAAAGATGGATTTGTTCTGTGGCTTAAGGTTAAGACACTGCGAACACCAGGCACTTGTTAGCTTCTGCGATCTCAGCTTCCTCATCTCTAAATGAGATAAGTGACAACTGCTCTCCCCAAGGGATCCTTTGGAGGAGTAACTGAGTCCCTACAGTTCTGGGTACAGTGACACTGAAAGCGCTGGTCTCGCTGGAATTACCTGGTGAGCACAGGGATGCTCAAGTAGGGTTTGTAGCCATCAGCAAGAAGCCTGACCCACTGTGTGTGTGGGGGGGCGGCAGTCCTGGAACCGCACGGGGAGACCACCATCCAGCACCCAGTGTCCCCTGGCTTCCCCCAGCCCACAGCTGTACCCCATGGCCATACTCACCAGAATCCCAAAGGCCATGACTTTGAGCACACATTCCAGAGAGAAAAGGGAGGTGAAGACAATGTTGAACACTCTCAGGGCATTTTCATAAGCAACTGAGGCTCCATAGAACTAGAGGAGGAGGAAGAAAGGGTGGCAGGGTCAGCCTAGGAAGCCAGCTTCCGGAGTGTCCTTCCTGGGGGCAGGACTTGGACACCACGAAAGGACAGAGGAATAGCTCAGAAAAGCCCAGATCTTCTCAAGTCTAGGGGGCATCTTTTTATATTTAAAATCAAAGAAAAAAATTTTTTGAGACTGGGTCTCAATATGTAGTCCAGGCTGGACTTAAACTTTCTATGTAACCCAGGTAGGTCTCAATTTGTAATGATTCTCCTGCCTCAGCCTCCCGAATGCTGAGGTAACAGGTGTACACCAGCATCCCTGGTCAACAGCTTTCTTTTGACTTCTGTCTGAGTATCCTGGACCCCAGGACAGCCTGGCTTGGTGAAACCCTGTAGGACAGAGGGGATAACCAAGCATCCTGTCTCTGTCTGCTTTGACTTTTCCTTTCTTTTTTTTAAAAACAATTATGTGAGCTGGACGTGGTGGTACACACCTGTAATCCCAGCACTCAGGAGGCTGAGGCAGGAGGATTGTTGGGAGTTTGAGGCCAGTGTAGGCTACAAAGTGAGCTCAAGGCCAGCTTGAACTGCATAGTGAGACCCTGTCTCAAAAAGACAAAAAAACCCAAAAAACAAAAAAAACCCAAAAAAACCCCCACAATTATGTAAAAATTTTATAATTTATGATAAAATAGATGATTTTTCTTTTTTTTAAGTCTTTCTATTGTAGAAAGCTTTAAAATATATATGCAGCTGGGCATGGTGGTACACGCCTATAATCTCAGCACTCGGAGGCTGAGGCAGGAGGATCGCTGTCAGTTCAATGCCAGCCTGGGTTACATAGACTCATTAAGGCCAACCTCAACTACACAGTGAGACCCTGTCTCAAAAAACCAAAACCAGAAAGTATTTATTTATAATTTAATTGGCATATAATAATGTATGTGTTTATGGAGTAGAGTGTGATATTTCAACACATGTATGTAATGTATAATGATCAAATTGGGATAATTGGTATATCATCTCAGACACATCATTTCTAGATCCCCTTCGAAGTATTGGTAGGGTTGAACCTAGGGTCTTTGTACTGAACTACATTCTCAGCCCATTTATATTCTGAGACAGGTTCTTACTAAGTTGCTGGACTTGAGCTTGACAGCCTCCTGCCTCAGCCTCTCAGAATGTGGGATAATAGGGGTGCAACACTATACCCAAGTTCTCCCCACCTTCTTTTTGAAACAAGATCTCACAAAGTTACCCAGGTGGGCCTTGAACTTGTGTTCCTCCTGCCTCAGACTCCAAAGTAGCTGGGATTACATGCATATGCACCTGGCTGTTTGCTTCTGTGAAATGCTTCAAAACAGTAACAATGAAAAGGCAAGAAAGAAAGTAACTTATTTATACAGTAGTTCCCCTTTATCTGTGGTTTCAGTTATCCAAGGTAGAAAAATATTAAATGGACAATCCCAGAAATAATGAATAAATTAAAAACAAAAACAAAAACAAACACCTTTTTTCCCCCCTTGATATAGGATTTCACTACACTGCTCAGGTTAGCCTCAAATTTCTGAGCCCAAGTGATCCTCCTGCCTCAGCCTCCCAAGTAGCTGGGACCACAGATATGTGCCACTGTACCCAGCTACTGTGTAAGTTTTAGATAATATTATTATAGCAGATTGTCATAGCTGTTCCCTTTATTATTAGTTATTGTGCCTTACTGATTTATTACTTCTTTGTTGCTGGCGATGGAGTGTGGGACCCCTCACATGCTGAGCATCCTCTCTGCTCCTGAGCTAGGCCCAGTCTCCTATGCCTAAGTTACACATACGCTTCACTCCGATGTGCATTGAGGAAGAAACAGCACCAGGATAGAGCACAGGGGGATGTGCCACTCCCGGCTCAGCGCCGATGGGTGCCTTTGGGCAGCTGCTCCACACAGCGAGGTGGCCGCCATAGGCAAGAACTTTCAGTAGCAAATCAGCCCAGCCATCTCAACGTTCAACAATGAACAGCTAAGCTGGGCGTGGTGGCACAGGCCTGCAATCTGAGCACTCTGGGAGGCTGAGGCAGGACGATTGCAAGTTGGAGCCCAACCTAAGCAAGTTAGTGACTTAGGGAGACTCTGTCTCAAAATAAAAAAAATAAAAAAAAAATAAAAGAGCTTTGGATGTAGCTTTAGTGCAAAGGCTCTGGGTTCAATCCCAGTACTGAAAAATAATTAAAATAATAAAAAAAGAAGAATGAATCGCTGCATGTATTAAGTGCTGAGAAAATGCTAAGATTGCCTGGGTTTTCTCCTCCAATCCTCCCATTTTATTGACAGAGAAATCGAGGCCCCAGGACGTCAGTGGGCACTTGTGGGAGATGATACAGTGAGTTACATGGCTGAGCTGAACTTGAACCCAGGACTCTGAACCTCAGGCTAAAAGATTTTGAGTTTTGACTTTGAAGAAGCTCTGGGGCTCTTTACCCATGCCTCCTCCCTCATTTCATTCACAGCTTCCTTTTCTCTTTGTTTTCTTTTCCTTTTTCTCCTTCCTCCTTCCCTCCTCCCCTCCCTCCCCGCTACTCCTATCTTTTTAGCACTGGGGTCTGAACCCAGGGGCTCTGCACTGAGCTATATCCCCAATGTCTTCTATTTTTTATTTTGAGACAGGGTCTTGCTAAATCACCCAGGCTGGACTCCAACTTGGGATCCTCCTGCCTCAGCCTCCTGTACTTCTAGGATGACAGGTTTGCCACACACATTCCTGGGGGGCACCTTCCTGCTCTGAGTCAGATCCTTGATGAGGTCCTTGGACTCAGGGCTGTGGCTCCAACAGCTCTCGGGCTGGCGGAGACATCTACTGAGCATGCAACAGTGACGGAATGGCTCGTGTCACGGGGAAGCAGGTTGTGACAGGGACCGGCAGTTTGGGGTGGTCAGGGAGGTTTCTCGGAGGAGGCATCCTGTGGGGCAGCTGGGGCGGGCACGGTGTGAAGGGTGGAGGGAACAGCAGGCACGAGGGCTGGAGGCCACCAGGTGTGGGCGGAGGCGGCTGCAGGCTCACCTTCATCATCAGCACAATGGTGTTGAGGGCAATCATGGCCATGATGGTGTACTCGAACGGGGGGGACACCACGAACTGCCACATGCGGTACTGGAAGCTCTGCTTGTTCTGCGGCATGTGCCGGGTCAGCGGTTTGGCACTGATGGCGAAGTCGATGCAGGCTCTCTGGGGACCGGAGACAATGGTGTGAGGGGCCAGATGCTGGGGCCCCTCTGCTCAACTCTATACAGCTCCCAGGCGCGGCCCCCTGGACGCAGACGCTGGGCTCCCGGCAGCCTGGCCGGCCGCAGAACCACCCCTTCCCTGGGCCACGCCTGCCCCAGAAGCCGCCTCCGGCCAGCCAGCGTGTGAGCAGCAGATCCCTCCCCATCTCAGATGCTCCTCAGCCAGCGTGTGTCTATAGCACACTCTGCAGGTGAGGAAAATGGGCTCAGAGAGGTGGAGCTGCTTGTCTGAGGAGGCACAGGAGCCCAGGGGGCTGAGTCTGGACTCGATAAAAGCCAACTCCAGATCCTGGCCATTCTTTCTTGTTGAATATCCTGCTTCTCCCGCTCCTTTTCTTTTAGGGAGGTGAAGAGGCAGAGATAGAATGTGCTCCAGGTCCCTCCCTGAGCTTGGGGAGACTGCACTTCCTTTGCTCCCAACATCAGACATGGATGCTAAGGACAGTGAGAGTGAAGGGTCATATCACAAACAGGACCATGGTCTGCCACACTTTTTGGCTCTGAAGGACCTCAGAGGAAGGTGGCTGTGGCAGCCTTGGGACAGCATAAAGATGTCACAGAAAAGAGCCAGCCTGCAACGTGAGAGAGAGCTGGCCCCTCTGTGCCCATCTGGGGATGCTTGTTACTAAGGCATACCCTGGTCTGAGCTGACTGATACATGTGCCACGTGACTGATGGGTTTTCCTTTACAGACTTAGGGAGGATCTCTAAAATGAAGCGATACCTCATTTTTCTCCAGGCTGTACTCCTCCATCATCTTGTCCCCTTGCTCCTGGAAGGTGATGATGATCAAGGCCACAAAGATGTTGACGAAGAAAAAGGGAAAAACCACAAAGTAGACGACATAGAAGATGGACATTTCCATGCGGTAGCCAGGGCTGGGGCCCTGGTTCTCAAAGGTGGCGTCCACGGAGTGCTTGAGGACCCTGCAGGGTGCCGGCATGGAGGGGAACACAGAGAGCAGACAGAAGAGAGACGAAAGCCGGTTGGTAACAGTGCCGGGTGCATCTATGGCTACGTGTCATGGTTTATTCTGTGCCGAAAATACTGTCAACAATACATTTGTTTTCCCACCAACCCTCTCAGAGAGGAGACGACCAGCTCTGTTCTTTGCACAGGGAAACTGAGGCTCAGCAAGTTAAAGGGAGCTGCTGAAGATGACGCTTTCAGAAGTGGTCCCTTTGGGATTTGAAGCCAGGTTTGTGCTGATGAGTAGGAGTGAGCAGGACTAATGCCAGGAGCTCATCAGCTGCACCCAGGAGGGCTGTATGTGGGAGAGTGTATGTACACAGGGCTCTGTACAGCTGTGCAGGTTGTGCACTGCCCAAGCAAGAGGTCTGTGTTTAATCGGTGCCTTCATGTTGTAACCATGGCAGATTTGTGTATGTGTGATGAGGATTTTTTGGCAGGCTGCCATTAGAGACTTGTTTGGACAAAATCGTTTAGGTGCATAGCAATGGTTTTCTGACAGATAGAAGTGAAGCCCGTTGAATGGGCATCTTAAAAACAATTCACTCAAAGGTGCCTACTTTAGCACTGACTTCATGCGTGTGGGTCCTAGAGCAGGGCATGGGGTGCAGACATGCACATTTGGGCTGTGGGTTTGCTGGGGAGGGAGGGAAGGCACATGCTGCGCTCTCCCAGCTTCTGACCAGGCATCCCCACGACTCGAGGAGCAAGCCCAGGGCAGGACAAGGAGAGGAGGTGCTGTCCTGGGTCCAAATACGAGGGCTCCCGAAACACAAGCAAACACGATAAAAAAAAAGTCACTGTGGTATTTTCAAAAATCAAAACGAATCCTCAAAAGTCCTCAATGAACTAAATATAAAGTTTTTTTTCTGTGGTCCCAGGGATTGAACCCAGGGATGTTCTACCACTCAGCCACACCCCTCAGCTTTTAAAATTTTCTTTTTTCTTTTTTTTTTTTTTTTTGAGACAGGGTCTCGCTATGCAGTTCAGGCTGGCCTTGAGCGCACTTTGCAGCCCAGGCTGGTCTCGAACTTGAAACAATCCTGCCTCAACCTCCCGACTGCTGGAATTACAGGCGTGTGCCCCCACGCCCGGCTTAGCTTTCAGAATCTTTAAAACGGGGTCTGACAGAGTCCTCCAGACAGGCCTCAGGCTTGCTGCCCTTCTGCTTCAGCCTCCTGAGTGCTGGGATCACGGCCGTGGGCCACCTCGCCTGGCTCAAGATCGTCAGTAGGGGCCAGGTCCATTTCCAGGCTTGCGTGGTTCAGCCTCCCAGCCTCACCCTAGGCCACAGCCCCGTGGATCTATGAGGCCCCATCTCGTGAAGCGACAGCTGCCCCTCTTCTCCCAGCCCCTCTTTCTCCTGCTCCCCAGGTCCTGAGCTCCTCCTGCCTCAGCCTCTCCCTGTGTACTCACTGCGGCCATCCTTCTCCTGTGGACACCGTGAAGAGCGTTAGCAGGGCCCAGAGCACGTTGTCGTAATGGAACTCATACTTCTTCCACTCCCGGTCCCGGGCCTTCACCTCGTTTTTCTCATACAGGAGGTACTTGCCGCTGCCGCAGACAGGGCCCCATTAGTCAGCAGGAGCGGGGGACCCTAACCTAGGGCTTTGGGGCTGAGCTACATCTCCTTTTATTTCAGAACAAGGTCTTATTAAGTTGCTAGTTGCCCAAGCTGGGTTTGAACTTATGATCCTCCCGCCTCAGCCTCCCAGAGTTTTGGGATGACAGATATGTGCCATCACATCTGGCTTAGGGGCATTTGGCTTTCGGCACCAGAGAAAGGAGGAGGAGGAAGGGGATGTACCAGCCTCTGCTGCTGTGTCAGCCCGGGAAGTAGTGACACCCTGACCTCTCTGTTTGTTGGGGGAGCCCCCATGCTTCCAGCTGGGGGCCGTGGAAGAGTCTGCTCCGCATGCAGCATCCCTTTGAGACGAAGCCTTCTCATCGCTGCGGTGACAGCCTCAGGCTCGTGTATGTGAGGGATATTTCATTTCTGGGCTCAACAACCAAGGGAGCAGGCTGCTGTTTCCTTTCACCACACTGAAGCAGAACTAGTCCTAGGCCTGACTCCTGTGCTCAAGCAAACCTCCTGCCTCGGCCTCCCGAGCAGCTGGGACTACAGGTGTGCTCCACCGTGCCTGGCGAGGATCCTTCTGATTTCTAAAAACAGCTACCAAAGTTCGGCAGCTACCACTGGCTGCACGGTGACACTTCACAACAGCAGCAGCAGCAGCAGCCGCCATGTGGCCAGGCCTGTCTCCCGCAGCTCTGTCACTGTGGACTCCACCAACCAGGGATTGAAACTGTTCTAAGAAGAAACAGTACATCTACACCAAGCATCTATACTGAACATGTACAGATTTTTTCCTTGTTTTATTCCTCAAATAATATCGTGCAGCAATAATTCACACAGCATTTACATGGCATTAGGTATTTTTGGTCATGGAGAGATGTTTAGAGTCTGCAGAAGGCTATGTGTAGGTTATCAGCCAATACTACACCACTTTGCTTTTCTTTACTTTAGTGTTTTTGAGACAGGGTCTTATTACGTAGTCCAGGCTGAACTTGAACTTGTGGAGATCCTCCTGTCTCAGCCTCCCAGGTGCTGGGATTACAGGTGTGGGCCACTACGCATGGTTATTATGCCATTTTAAGAGCCTAGAGCACCCACTGAATTTGCTATCTAAACAGATTCTGGAATCAATCTGCCCTATACTTGAGAATTAGTCATGATGCTGACTTTGTGATAGGGGAGGGTGCTCTGAGGTTGCAACCCTTCTGCACAGTTCTAAATCCAGGAAGGTCTGAAAGCCAAACCTCTTCCTTCTAATGCAGGGACAGTTACAGCCCACAGGCAGAAACTGGACTACTAACCATTTCTGTGGTGCCCGCATGCTGAGAAGGATGTTTACATTTGAATTAGTTCAAAACAAGTAACACACACTTTCATGACAAGTAAAAAAAAAATCATATAAAATTCAAATTTCTGGGGCTTTTTGTTTGTTTGTTTTTGTGAGATGGGGTCTCAGTATTATCTCACATTTCAGTTTCCAGCCAGGCGTGGTGGCAAATACCCATAGTCTGAGCCACCGTGGAAGCTGAGGCAGGAAGATGCCTTGAGCCCCGGAGTTCTCAACTAGTCTGGGAAACATAATCAGACTCCAGCTTTTTTTTTTTTTTAAAAGTGTGTAGTTGCAGAAATAAAGTTTTATTGGAGTACAACCATGCGTGTTCACTGATCTAACATCTATAGCTACTTTTGAGCTGTCACAGCAAAACTGGGTGACCAGAACAGACACCATGCGGTCTGCAGAGCCAGAATTATTTATCACTCGGCCCTGGGCAGGAAGAATTTGTTAATGATGGATGTAACTCATTTGGCAACAAAGCCAGCCCTGATTGGGGGGACACCCTTTACACGCATTATTACCATATTATTACCATATTATTATCATGTCATTACCATATTTGGGGCAAACAGCTGCACGTTTCTCAACAGAACTATTTTGTCTGATTTCAGGGCTGCTGGGGATGTTCACGCCTTAGGTGGGGCACGCACTGTATAAACTTCTTAAAATCTCAAAATATGACAAAAATTATTTTTTGCAGGGCTGGGGATCAAACCCAGGGCCTCATGCATGCCAGGCAGGCGGTCACCACTGAGCTGTACCCCCAGCCCGATATTCTGAATGCTGAAACACCTCTGCCTGGAAAGGTTTCAAAGAAAGCCTGGTGAACATGTACTAATATCTTGCATGGGACAACTTCTTTTATTTGTGATACGTTTCAGAGGAGAACCTGTGCATGTGTATTAATGTCCCTCGCGTGACAAGCTTCCAAAAAAGACCTACGCACACGTACTTATGTCACCCCTGTGACGAGCTTCAAGGGAGGAACGTGGATGTGCTTTAATGTCCTCCATGACAAGGAGAAAAGGTTATGCCTCTTCCGGCTGCGATGGGGTGGGGTGGGGGGTTCACATTCCCAAACTTTTCTTCTCCGGATCCAGGCTGGCTGCTGTTGATTCCCTACCAGCCCTGGAGGGCTCCTGTCTCCCAGCCCCGGTCTCTGGTGTGTTTGGCAGTGACCCAGCCTGCGCCCACCCCGGGAGTGAGACCCACCGGCAATCCTTCTCAAACTCCTTGGACTCGTCGGTACAGTGGAAAAACTTCCCCTTGAAGAGCTGCACGGCCACCACCGCGAAGATGAACATGAAGAGCATGTAGACGATGAGGATGTTGAAGACGTTCTTGAGTGAATTCACCACACAGTCAAACACAGCCTGGGGACGAGCAAGAAAGAAGATGGGGGAGGGCTTGGGCGGGGCTCCAGCCAACCTGCGCCTGAAGGACAGCTGCCTCCTCCGATCTTGTGGGCTCTAGTTTTTTGAGGTGGTAGGCAGTGGAGGGACAGGATCTCCCTATGTAGCCCCAGCTGGCCTTGAACTCAAGATCTTCCTGCCTCAGCTTCATGAACAAGAGGGATGAGAAGCATGTGCTACCACACTGGGCACCCATGGGTTCTTTTATCTATAGATTTAATCAACCTTGGATGGAAAATATTCAGGGAAAAAAAACTGTATCTGTCCTGAACATGTACATTTTTTTCTAGTCTTGATTCGCTAAGCTGAACAGTATAACGACGACTTCTCCATATTTTCACTGTACCAAATGTTCCAAGTGACCCAGAGATGGCTGAAAGCCCGCAGGACTGCCTCCCTACCCCCCCGACTGCTTCTGTGGGCTCCTTCCTGCCTGCTAAGCAGCTGAAAACTCTCTGGACTTGAGAGATGGCTCTGTACCTGGGATGAGGTAGATAAAGGCCGTGATGTTCCCGGCACCTCCCTCAACACAGTGTTTCGGAGCCTGTACCTGGCAAGCCTGACAGATGGAATCGTCTACCCACTCCCAGAGCAGATGGACGGTCCCAGCTTGGAAGGTCCCCCTCGCTCACCCCAGCTCTTCCCATAGGACTCGGCCTGGGGTTTCTGGATTTGCCCTGGCCTGTTTAGTGTCAGCATGTCTCCCATTATACTCCACGCTTGCACTGGTCCCTCCTAATCACAGTGGTTATCAAGGGTGGCTCAGCAGACAGGGAGTGTGGAGGGAGCGTGGAGTGTGGCCAGCTTTTCCGGGGGAGGAAGGACGGCCCTCCAGCAGGTGTTCAAGGGGGTTGTGAGGGGAAGATGATGAACTCAATACCCCACAGCGTCCATGTGCTTTAAGCTTTCACTTCCAAAGTGCAGCTGTCTCTCTTCTGGTTTAACGTGCATCCCCCAAATGGGACGCTCATCTGATCAGCAGGAACGAGGGGCACTGCCTCCCAAACAGAACATCAGGACATCATTCATTCATTTTATTTTCTTCTCCAGAACTGGGAACTGAACCCAGGGCCTTTGCACTGAACTCCACCCCCAGGCCTTTTTTCCTATTTAGAGTCAGGCTCTTGCTAAGTTGCTAAGTTGCCCAGGCTAGGTTTAAATGTGGGATCCTCCTGCCTCAGCCTCCCAGAGTGCTGGGATGACAGGCATGCGCCATTGGCCCTGCTTGCTCAGAGATACTTTTAGGTGACTCAGGGACCCAGCATGGAATCACATGGTAACAGAGTTGCTCCTCTGTTTCCTTCCATTGCTTTGAGCAAGGGAGAAAGTCCTGTTCTGATGCCTGACGGTGGAACTTTCTGTTTTTATTTTATTTTTAAATTAACTTTTTGCCTCCTGTTCCCTGCCCTGTTGTTTTCTCTTAGCCAAGGCAAAGCAGGTGTCCATGCTCTCAGCCTCTGCCCTGCAGCCTTCTTTGGCTAGCTTTTAGTAACAGTATGTCATTTTCTTCCAAGAAAAGTTTAGTTTTATTCTCTGTTAACAGTGGGTTCTGGATTTTCACTTGGGAGATTTGGCAGAGGCTTTTTAAAAATTTCTTTAGCTGAGCGTGGTTGCACACGCCTGTAATCTCAGCACTTGGGAGGCTGAGGCAGGAAGATCGTTGCAAGTTTGAGACCAGCCTGGGCTACAAAGTGAGCTCAAGGCCAGCCTGAACTGCATAGCGAGACCCTGTTTCAAAAAGACAAAAAAAAAGAAAAAAAAAAAAATCTTTGTTTTTTTGAGGCATGGTTGCCTCGAACTCACTGTTTAGTCCAGGCTGCTCTTGAACTTGCAATCCTCCTGTCTCAGCCTCCCAGGTGCTGGGATCAAATGCATGTACCACCACACCCAGCTGAACCTTTCCTTTTAAAGTAAACTAACTTAAGACAAATTAAGTGACCCAAGTTAAAAAAACATATTAAGTGATACAGGTGGCCCCTAGGTGAACGTAAATTGAAGAAGGTGCTGGAATGCTTGGACCTTCTTTCTCTCCCCTTGCGTCCTCTCTTCCCTTCTTCCTTTCACGGCAAGCTTTTGGGAAATGCTGGCTCAGATACTTTGGGATGGGGGAGTTTGGGGGCCTACACTAGGCAGATAATGAGTTCAGGGTTACATAGGACCAGAAATCTAGTTCCCCGCTTCTCAGATTAGCACGGTGCCCGAATTTTGGAAATGCTGACTCAATACCTTCATATGAATGAAGACGAAGAATCAGACTTGACCTTTTACATAGTGGAAAATTGCTCTAGTATTAAGGGTTGTTAGGTGAGTTCGCTTTACTGCCACCTGCTAGACATCTGTAATCATAAATATACTCTCATTTATGAATCTTGCACAATGTTATCAGCACCTCTTTCAATGTAACATTCTTTTAAAAATTTTTAACAGTACTGGAGATCAAATCCATGAGCTCACATATGCCAGGGAAGCACTCACCACTAATCCACAACCCCTTTTAATTATTATTTTTGCAGTTCTGCGCATTGAACCCAGGGCCTTTGCACTGAGCTACATCCCCAGACCTTTTAAAAAACTTAAAAAAAAATTTTTTTTTTGGTGACAAGGTCTAAGTTGATCAGGCTGGCCTTAAACTTGTGATCCTCCCACCTTAGCCTCCTAAGTAGCTGGAATTACAGGTATGCACCACGTCTACCTGATATGGTATTCTTGAGCAGTGTGCAACCTGTTCAGCTGTATATGGGAATCCTGGAAGCACCCTCTCCACCTCCACATTCCCGAATCTCACCTTGAGCTTCGGCAACCGCTTGATGGTTTTGAGTGGTCGTAGCACCCGGAGGACTCGGAGAGATTTAATTGTGTTGATGTCCTTTCCTTTGCTGTTGCCACTGTGGAGGGCACCAGGGCAGGGAGAAGGGAAGAGAGGAAGCAGTGGTCAGGCTGGGAGGTGGGAGCCCCACAGCTGCCTTGACCCCACCTTCTCAGGTCTGAAGTCTGGTGTGAGCGGGGCGAGCCCTGTCCTTCCTTGAGGCGCACTCTGCTATTTGGGCTGAGGAGGCGGCGGGCAGAGGCTTTGGGGTCCAGGTCTCAGGGTGGGTTTCTCTTTTTCTTGTGAGACAGGGTCTGGCTATGTAGCCCAGGCAGGCCTCAAACTCACAGTGACCCTCCTGCCTCAGGCTCCTTAGCACTGGGCTAACAGGTGTGTGCCACCGCACCCGGCTCAGGGTTAGCTTCTGATGCTGCCTGGCGTGCGGTGGCCCTAATGTCTGCACAGTGACCTCTAGGAAACTTACTGGCCTGGGGGTTGGGGGCTCCTGTGCTTTCTTTAGAACGGCCTTTGACAGTGGGGTCTCCCTCTTTCCATCGGGGCTGAGGACACTGAGCACGGCCCTTCGCACCTATCCTGAGGGGTGGGAAACGTCCCACAGTCCTTTCAGTCGCTGATGTTGGCCACCGGCCGTGGTGAGATTCCTGCCTCAACGCAGACCCCACAGCCCCCAGGCACCCAGGACGTCACTGGGCGTGGCTGGGCAGGGCTGGTGGACACCGGCACCCCACTCTCCACCCGGGACCAAGCCAGTGCCTGTGGCCCCGTCACCGTCCTGCGCTGTACCCCTCCCCAGCCCAGGGAAGCTTCCTGAACACTCCGGGCGCCCGCCCAGCACCGTCTTCCTCCCCACACCTGACTTTCCGTCCTTCCACCTTTTCCGCCCACGGTGGCGGAAGCCAGCGTGCAGAGCAGGCCACAGTCCCTCAAGAGCCCTGGAGACTGGATTCTCCGCAGAGCTCCCAGACTTCGGGACGCAGCGTGTGGCGCCCTCTGAAGTCCAGCCTGACGCCCCTGGCTGTCACCGGCTACTCCACCTTGACTGCCCTGCCTGCGGGCAAAGCTCTCTGCGTCTCCACCGGCTATGCGCAGCCCTGCTCCAAGTTCAAGTTCAAGGCCGCCCTCCGGCCGGCCCTGCCTCCTGCAGCCCCGCCTGGGGTGGCCCTGACGCCCACACTGGACAGAGCTCAGGGCTGACACTATAGTTGCTGCAGGTTTCACTTCCTCTGACCCTGGCTCTTGTCCCAGCTCTGCCCCAAGATCTCGGGACCCTGAGTGGACCCAAGACAGTGTCCCGGGTACAAATTTCTTCCTCTGGTCACCTCGCAGGTCACAACATGGCTGCCCCTGAGACCCTCGCCCCACATGTCTGCAGGGCCATGTGCAAAAATATCAATTTTTGTTTTTAAAACAACGTTTGCCTTTTTCCCAGGTTCCTTTCTGGTATTTTTAGGGAATCAGGAGGAGAACTGGATTTTAGCGGGCTGGAACCAGCAGTCCCAGAATGTTGTTTTTTTGTCTGTTTTTTGAGACAAGGTCTCACTATGTAGTCCAGGCTGGCCTTGTCAATCCTCCTGTCTCAGCCTCTCAAGTGCTGGGATTACAGGTATGCGCCACACTTGGCATCTTTACTACAGCAGAAACTTCAGTGCGTGCTGGTAGTCTTTCATCATGCCCTCCAGATCCCCACTAATTTCCCTCTTTTGTACCCCAGGACCTCTTTCATGCTAGGCAAGTGCTTTACCAGAGCTACATTTCCCAGCCCGTTTTTATTTTGAGACAGGTGTTTGCTAAATCGCTAAGTTACCTAGGACGGTCTTGAACTTGAGACCCTCCTGCCTCCGTCTCCCAAGTAGCTAAAACTAAGGCTCAACTCTCATGTGCCAAATGGGGAACCCATCTGCCTGGCTGCCTGTGCTCCGTCGTCGGAAGTGGACCCAGGAGGAGGAAGGAGGCTGAGTCGTCCTCTGGGAGGAGCCTGGGGAGTGTGGATGCTGTCCCGGAAGCCAGATTTGCAGCAAGGGCGGTAACTGCTCCCTCTGTCCAGAGCCCGCCTCCCGCTTCTCCCATGTGGGGTGCTGGAGGCCCTCCTGACTCTGCTAACTATCCACCCTATCTCCATCGCCTGCTCTGTTTTCTGCCAGGTGAGTCACGGCAGAGGTCACAGCCACGGGCCTTTGGGTTCCCTTGGCCTCCGGGGGAGCAGGTTCTGGTCATCATAAGCGACAGGACAGCTGCGAGGACACAGGGCCACAAAGAAGAGGCCAGAGCCGACGTGACTGCACCAGGCACAGAGGACGAGGGACAGATGAGAGCGAGAGAGAGAGAGAGAGAGAGAGAGAGAGAGAGAGAGAGGACTTTACCGTGTGCTGCTCCTGCAGAGGTGGCGTCGGAGGGAGAGACAAGCCGTGAGCAGCCTCAGAAGAGAGAACACAGGACACGCACAGACAGAGACACGCGACAGTGCGGCCCGAGTCCCCCGGTCCCCGCTGCCCACCCAGGGACCAGGAGGGGGGATCAGGACGGTGGCTCTGGGCCTTTGCCCCACGTCTATCCGGGCACCGGCCGCATCACCCAGGAAGCCACACTGCCAAGGAGCTGCGGGCCACGGAGGGGAAGGAAATGGCTTTTGTTTCCAGAAGTTCCGGCCCAGAAAGATGGAGCTGGTCTGGAAAGGTGTGAGCTTTGGGTTGGGAGAGGACCTGGGTTTGAATCCTGCCTCTGTCTCTCCTGGTACCGTCTGAGAAATGGGTGTGTGGGACTTATACACTGCAAACAGCCATAACCTTGGCTTTAGTACTACTTACTGTATTTTTGTTTTTTTGAGACAGGATCTTGCTATGTAGCCCAGGCTGGCCTCCTGCCTCAGCCTTTTGAGTGCTAGGATTACAAGTGTGTGTACCACAGCTGGCTTAGTTATTTTTTCCAGAGCTGGGAATGGATCCTGGAGCCTGAGCTCCCCCACCAGCCTTACTCAAATATTCCATTTTGAGATTAGGGTCTCCCTAAGTAGCTCAATAGCTTACTTTTGAACTTGCAATCCTCCTGCCTCAGCCTCCAGAGGAGCTAGGATGACAGCCCTGTGCACCATACCCTGGCTAATTGCTTTATGGAGACCGTCTTGCAATGTCGCCCAGGCTGGCCTTGAATCTCTAGACTCCAGCTGCTCCTCCTGTGTAGCTGGGGTTGAGGTATGCACTGCGATGTCCCACACAATTATTTTTTAAAAATGAAGCAGGTCAGATGCCCACACACACACTAGTGTATTCTCCACATCTTCCCAGCCTTTTCCTTTCGTCTGGCTTGGTCATTCTCACAGCTTATCTTTTTTGTTTTTGGTTTTTTGGAGACAGAGCCTTGCTGTACAGTTCAGGCTGGCCTCCTGACTCAGCCTCCTGCGTGCTGGGATTCTAGGCATGCGCCACCTCGCCCCATGCAGAGTTCGTTGTGTCTAAGAATCAGTGCACACAGATTGGACAAATTCTACTTTTCGGACAACTGAAGGAGCTTTCAGCCTGGGCTGCTACTGTGGGTGTAACCCCTAAGTTTCGTGGACGTCACTGCGTCTGACTGTGTGAAGACGGCACCATGACGCCCATTTGCCAGACGAGGAAACTGACGCCCTGAGAGGGAGAAGGATGTCCCCAGGCCACGCGGCCCGGTGGTGGCAGGCTGAGATTCAAACCCAGGTTCTAGGACCCTGCTCGCAGGGAGGACATACCTTTCAGCTGGGGTCTGTTTCAAAATTAAAGTGGCAGAGCAAAGGGCTCCTCCTGAGGCTCCCTGGAAGTGCGGCCCTGGGACCAGCGTCCTCTGCGGCAGGGCCGCCCACGGGGGCAGCAGCCGTGCCCGGCGGTGGCGCGGGGGGGGGGTGGCTCCCGGCAGTGTGGACAGGATTGTGATCCTGTGGGCAGGGTCCGCCACTGCCCCAGGCCTGGGCACAGCGTGTGACATGTGGGTGATGGCTTGTGAAATGGTGCGGATGGAGTCACAGGGACATGGGCGCAGCGGGAGGGGGAGGACGCACACACAGTCTCAGGAGGGTGGGGACGCTCAGGCTGGGGCCACAGTTGGGGCACAGGCAGAGTCCTCGGCCATGGCCGGCACTGGACGCCCGGCAACTCCCGGGACCACCTCAGGCAGGGTCTGGCTGGACCCGCTTCGCTCTGTACCGAGGCTAACGAGAGCACCGCCCTCACACTGTGGACTCAGGTTACACACACGAGGCGGTCACACTTTTTATGTGTGTGTGTGTGGTTTTTTGAGTCAGTCTCGCTGTAGTTTAGGCTGGCTCTGAACTTGCGGTGACCTTCCTGCCTCAGCCTCCCAGAGTGCTGGGATTACAGAGTCCCTCTGGCTGGTGTATACGTGCGTGTGTGTGTGTGTGTGTGTGTGTGTGTGTGTGTCCATCTACTGTATTTATTATGGCCACCTCTACCTTCCTTACTGCTTGGGGAAACCGAGGCACAGGGGGTCTAAGGGACCGGTACATCCAGAGAGAAATCTGACACTTGCTGGGTCTGGCTCCTCGTCTAGGAGCAGACAGGGACTGACAAGCAAAAGACCAGTGGGAAGAAGCACCCTGAGAGCCTCAGGCGGCCTCCCCAAGTCCAGACCTTTGTCTGCTAAGGAGGAAAGACCAGCAGCACAGTCCTCACGGGCCACAGAGACAGAAAACCTGCAAACGAGGAGGGTGGGTTCTCTGACTTTCCTTGGGGACAACAGCAGGTCCCTGGGCCGCTGCACTGGCTTCAGGCAGTTAGCGCTGAGCAGCAGGACTGGCTTGATCCAGGCAGCCAGGCACCTGGGCATTGGCAGCCCTGGCCGGACACTGGCATTGAGGCAGGCCGGGGCCTGGGGGTCCTCGCTGGACCCAGGGCCCTAAACACTTTCAACCCCCAGGGAAGTTTCTGGCACTGGCCACGCTGCCACTGGCAAAACAATCTCCGGCCCCCGCTTCCTGAGCGGGCCCAGAGCCCAGACACGCTCACAGGGGCCGAAAGCCCTGTCCCGCCCCCTTCTACCGGGAAAAACCTTCCAAGTAGGGATGCACAAGCCTGTGGGGTCTCCAAGTCGGGAGCAAAGTCTACAGACTTCACTCCAAAGCA